CTGGCTCAGTGCACCTCATACAAAATTTTATGAACTCCATTTTGGGGGGAAAATCCTTTCAAATACTCGATCGACTTGCCGGCACCAGATCTATCCTTTGACATGCCGCAACTGGCTAGGATATAGGTTAGGTTGAAACTCATCCAGGTATTTTCTATATGTAGGCATTTCACCATTTTTGCGTACGCGCTTGTGTTTCCTGAAAGAAAACCCGCTTCAGCGATGGTAGTGGTCTCTCAAACGGAAGACTCCCACAACAAATTAAGTTGGACAGATCAAGCAGGCACTTTGGACACTTGTCTTGTATACAACAGAGCTACGTAGTTTTCTTTTTTATGAAAGCGCCTTTGCAATGTATTTCTTTAATGCAACATATTTGTGTCCCATTTAACCTTATTTTCAGTTTTCGTATGCCATTTTGGTGCCTTTTTGGTTTTATGCTAATGCCATTTCCATATTCATGAGTAAGACCACGATATATCACTTCAGGCAGAAATCTTCATGTTACTTTTGCTGTTGAACCTTTTTTGGTGATTCGTTCTTGTGTCAGTAAATGGCAGTAAGCTAATTGAGCAAATTTTTGCACAAATGTTTTTAGTGAACTGAACAGTGTCTTCCTGAAATAACATCACAGCAACAGCGCCCTCAGTTGTTCGGGAAGGAATGGAACCTTTTGAAACTTTAAAGAAGTGCACTTTCATTACAGTTACCGAAAGATGATGTCGACTGGTTTTCATACATTTATACAAAAGGAGGCAAAAGTTGCACAGAATATATGTTCTTAAGAAAATATATTTGAATGAACCCTTTAAACAAAATGCTCCGTATTGACATCCAATCATGGGCGTTGCGAGGAGAAGGGGGAGAGGGCGCTTGCCCCCCCCCCCCCCCTCTCCCAGAAAAGCAAAAAAAAAAAAAAAAAAAAGGCGAGAAGTCATATTGCTGTTACTTTAATGGTTTTTTTTTGGGGGGGGGAATATCCCTGCCCACCCTCGAAAAATGATAAATCGAGAATATGCTGGAAAGTGGAAATGTGCTTTGCCCCCCTCTAGAAAAAAATCCTGGCGTCGCCCATGCATCCAATAAAGTAGATCACGATACAATTAAAGGTTAGAAAATTAGCACGTTTGCTTGAAAGTTCAGTGCAAAGATACGCTAAACCTCATTATTACATGTAGTAAAATAATATTTTAAGTACTATTGCTAATACTCTTCCGCTGTTTTTACCCAGAAAATTTCGTTACAGCACCTTATTCTACGAAAAAAAATGACATATTATTTATTTATTTATTCTATTTTGAATTACAGCTAGACAGGAAAAGGCCTCGTCCATGAAGCTTCGGGAACTCATTCGCGAGATTTTGGACCAGTTGGAGTCCCTTGATGAAGAACGTGAGTAGTAATGTGAACTTATTACTCGGTCGATACAGGGAGGTCGAAGAAAAATAGGACCCATGCTTCCACTACACTGAGACTCAAACCAATTCATGGAGAATCGTTTTAAAAAGAAAAATGAAGCCAAGATCGCCCGATTCGGTCCAGTATTTTTTGTTCTAGAGTTTAATTTTTTGAAGCAAGGTGTGGGCATTAATGTCCCCGCCGAAGAGTTACTAAACCGTGCCCTGGAATTTGACCTGCATTGTACTTGATACAGGGATTATTATGTAATAATACCCACATGAAAAAAAGTGTGCAGCAAAACAATTGGATCGAATCGGGATATTTTGGTATCGTAATTCTTCAAAAATGATTCTCCATCAATTGGTAGGGTCGGTTTTAGTCTCAGAGTAGTGGAAGTATGAGGTTCTCAGGATCCGGATTGTTTTTATGTTTGTCTTTGACTACCCTGTATACATTGACCTCTTTGCTGAATTAACGAACAAACATTAGTTCTCGTGTGAAAACTTTATTACCAGAAAAGAAACATTGATTTATAAAGTACACAATCAATATTTATGGTTTGTTTTTTTTAATTGAAGGCCGAGTGTACTGTAACGGGATCCAGTGCCCAGAGGATCAGATTTGCAGGACCAGACAAGGTGGCGGACAATACTGCGACTATTAGAAAGAAAACGCAAGAGATCGCTGACTTGAAACTGGAGAGAAAAAAACAGGAGTTTGATCGAGAAATAAGTTTAAAATTAATGTTCTGATATTCCAATATAGACCGACTTATCAGGCCCGCCCACTGAGCATAAGGACAACACATGCGCCTCTCGACACTGCGCATGTGCTGTAGACGCGCGCGAAATGCACGTGCACGCAGGTTGGATATAGATCACTGCTGTGATTGGTTAAAACATCTTCGCTCCTAACCCCCCCCCCCCCCCTCCCCCGCCCTGCAAACAGGACGCTGGAAACGGTTGATCTCTTTCAGCTCTCATTGGATAGATTTTGCGTGACCATAGTGACGCAGCATGCAGCATGCACACACACCAACACACCCAGACTCGCTACAGCTGTTAATCGTACGTAGCGCTCCAGTTGCATGCGAACGGTCATGATAATTTACCGTGAATGCCATCCGTACTTCCTTCACAAGATTATGTGAAGCAGATCAGTCCCATAGGGCTGCAGACCAGTAAATACATTTCCATAGACCCCAATAATTAATGCGCCCACTTCAGAAATTCAGGAAAAATTCAGCTCCCCAAGGTGCTCGAGACACACATCAAATTAAAGCTAATTTCATCGTCTTTCATTTTCTTTTTCAATATTTTTGGGGTAATCTGATGACTTCTTGGAGAGGTTCCATCCGAAGATTATCGCCCCTTAAATAGTCCAGACGCCCATCGCTATATTTTGAAAAACGGTGTCTAACACTCCATTGCAATATGGCTTTAAGGTCCCCAATTTCATACAAATTGAACGGAACTAAAAGCTCACAGTCCTGTGCACGGCCTCCACCCTTATTTTTCACAAACCCTCAAGTTTATGGCCCACAATATATGGTCAAGTAATGAAGAATTTGAGGGCATGCAAATCGTGATTTGGCGGCCGGCGTAGGCAATTTTGGACCGATTTACTGGCCTGCAGTGGCCTGTTTGCAGGGTGGGGGTGGGGGGGGGGGGGTGAGCAAATGGTCGGAGCATGGTAGATCGGTCTGGTCAGGTGAAGGTTACTTTAAGTGCAAATCTGGGGAGTTTTTTGTTTTCATTTCTGGCATTGTCATAAATGTGAATTTGTTTCTGTTTCCCTCGTACTAATTTGTTATCACTGTAAAACTGCTATTGTTTGGAGAACGAAAATGTACTTGTTGCTTTTCATTATTTTGTTTTTGCTTTGTGTAATGATGAGGAACGAGCAAAGAATAGTTTTGAAGCGTAAAACAGTTGGAAGAACTGCATGCCATACACAAACTTTTATTTCAAAATAATTGTAGTTAAAAACAAATAATCCAGGTAATAATGATATTAGTGAAGAGTTAATAGTCTGGTTCCCAGACCAAAAGATTCCGACTATTCCTGATGAATCTTAGGTCAGGTAGCCTCCGGTAATACAATGTATTACAATTTACATCACGTGACTAAAACGGGAGGAATTCCTCCTTTTTCCGAAACTGTCCGAAGTTTGCCGAATTCATTTCGTCGACAATCGGATAGTGTCCGAGTATTTCCGAGTATGATATAGGTTTTATTAACTGCTAATTGCTTATTAAAAACTTTAAAAAACTAGTTGATAATTAATATCCATTGCTTTTATTTAGAAAACTTGAAATTCAACGACGATTTTGCACTCGGATCGTATACGAGGGGCGAACTTTTTGCTGCGTCATGCACTAGTTTGAATTTGACGACCGTTACCGGCATTTTCCAAAACGCGGCGTGGTCTCAATTCGGCTCCGCCTGCTAACAGTGCTGTTTGGGTGTCCAACTTTGAAGATTCCAGGTTAAAATTAGTCAATGTTTTTTAACAGAAGTATTAAACTGTATATCATAACTGTATGATATATGAAGCAAGTGATTTATTTTTAAAAAAATTATCGGAACATTAAAAGCTTTATGTGATAAAGCGAAATCGGAAACGAAGTCGAGCTTTGAAAAAGGGCCGTCAATGTCGTCATGTTTATTTTTAGCCACGGAGGCTGCCTGACCTACAATTTAGACGTGTAGACGTCGGGGGAAATTGTCAGGTCGGGGAACCAGACTAAAGAGTTAACTGTTATACTTAATCGAATGAGGGCGCTGTTGTGAGGTTGAGGTTAAAAGCATGCGCGATCGAAGACATTGTTTCCATCGTTCATAGAAAAAAATACACATTTATGCTGATTCCAATACTGGTATCTTACTGTAGGATTTAAGTGAAGTGACTGATATGCTTCAATAAATTTAACATTGTACGTTTGTTACACAGCAAACAGCATATACAGCGCCCTCTTTTGCTTAATTATGGCATACATTTTTTCCCACGGCGGGTGGAACAAGTTAACTCTGGCATGCGCCTATGATATTTGTATCCCTTCTTTGTATTTGTCTTATATTAAAAGCATTGCAAAAAACTGTATTTTATTATCTGTCTTGTTATTCCATTCGGGCGATTCACAATGCAGTGCGCCACCAAGAGTTTGCCATGAAGAGTCCATTTTTCAAGTTTGCGGTCGACAAAACATGGCCCATTTGATAGGGTTGCAGACCAGTAAAATAAACTTCCATAGACTCCAATGGTAAAGCGGGCTTCAGAAATTCAGGAAAAATACTCACAACTCTCCAAGGTGTTCGAGACACACATCAAATTAAAGCTTATTTCATCATCTTTCATTTTCTTTTCAATTTTTTTGGGGTCAACTGATGACCTTTAGGAGAAATTTCCATCCGAAGATGATCACCTGTGAAAATAGTGCACCAATTTCATCCACACTGAACGGAACTACAAGCTCACAGTCTTGTGCACGGCTTCCACCCATATCTTTTTTTTTACAAACCCTCAAGGTCATGGCCCACAGCATGCTCAAATTTTGAGGGCATGCAAATCGTGATTCGGCCGGCGTAGGCAATTTAGGACCGATTTACTGGCCTGCCACCATAGGGCCAGTTGCGCCGCGTGTATGATTGTGGTGTAGTTGAACAGCGCCCTCTAATGTATGTTTTGTTTTAGCACAGAACGCGTTGTCGATGTTTTAGGCAAGCTCATTTGTGTCAAAATTTCTTGCTCAATCATCACAATTTTGGCGCTGAGGACGAAAAGGAACTAACACAAAAACATCCAGTGCTCCATTGCATCGCTGTGGTGAGTTTCAGTCTATTTAAATTGGATAGTCCGTTTGAAGAAATAAACGAAAAGCACAACAGTGAATTCATATCGGAACATGTTAATGTGAATCCTGTTAAACCATGGAGAAATGTTATACTTATAGGCCGGGAGTAATTGCAGAATATACCCCGCCACTCGGAAATACACCCCTAAATTCTCTGGCTACGAGGTTGGAATCACTGGAAAAGAAACAATTCAAGTCCATGCCAGCTACGAGGATACTGAGTGGGGGTCCATTATTTGAGAACGAAGCAACACAAAAGGAATGGGAGAAGCTGAAAAAAATTCTAAGTCCAAACCAACTACCCTGTTGGCGGCTACGCGGTTACGAAGTGGGAGTGCATGACGCATACAGTGTAGTACAAGTAGCGCTGAGAATGTTTATTGAGGTCAACCAACCGTGACCTCGTAGCCGGCTACGAGGTGGATAGATCGAGTGGCAGGGTATTCTGCAAGGAGCAACTATAGAATGCAGGGCCACGCCGGAGCAAGGTTTTTATTTTGCTTGGAGGCGTGGATGGATAGGAGTAATAGATATGCAAACCTGCAAAAAGTGCTAAGTGCAGCGAATACACTTGTCTTCTAAGCTTCTCATGAAGGATCGGAAGGGAGGGCGTGCTTGTAAATGTGTTGGGGGCACGGTACGGATCGGAGTCGAGGAGTGGCGGAGTCGCAGAGTCGCGGAGACGCGGGACACTGGAGTGGCGGAGGCGGGGAATCACGGAGTCGCAGAGACTCGCGCCGATAGAGGGCGCAATTCTCGGCGGAATTTTTTTGAGAACGAAGCATCCATATCCATTTTAACCCTCCGACGCAGAAAGCCCATTTAGTAACACCCTTACAGTAAGGGGTCCCCGGGGACCCAAATATTTAGCGCCACGGTTTGAGGCTACACAACACTGTATCCACATGAACACAATCTTGCCATGTCTGTAGACTAAGGAGGTGTATTTGTATACATAGTCTGTGGTCAAGCCTTGCACTGTCTACTCGCAAGTGACCTTGTTTGTGCACGTGTATATGGTGGGTCCCCGGATGGGCAGAAATTGCATCGGTCCTTAGCCCAGGTTGTCATGCTCAGATATGCCTGACCCGGGGTCACACACTAAAGTTGACTGCATATATCCGTAGAGGGTGTCTCTTGCTAGGATTAGATGGAAGATCACCAGAATTGGTTTGATTTTTTTTTTTTAATTAAGGTAATTAACCAAATTGGGTCCCCAAAAGGGCTAGATTCTGCGCCGGAGGGTTAAATGGGCTCGCAAATTAGGAAGGGAGGAGAACGACGGGGCACTGTCTGGAGTGGCGGAGGCGCGGAGTCGCACAGTCGCGGAGACGCGGGACACTAGAGTGGCGGGGGGGGAGAGTCGCGGAGTCGCAGAGACTCGCGCCGATAGAGGGCGCAATTCTCGGCGGAATTTTTTTGAGAACGAAGCATCCATACCCATTTTAAATGGGCTCGCAAATTAGGAAGGGAGGAGGGCGACAGGGCACTGTCTGGAGTGGCGGAGGCGTGGAGTCGCAGAGTCGCGGAGACGCGGGACACTGGAGTGGCGGAGGCGAGGAGTCGCGGAGTCGCAGAGACTCGCGCCGATAGAGGGCGCAATTCTCGGCGGAATTTTTTTGAGAACGAAGCATCCATACCCATTTTAAATGGGCTCGCAAATTAGGAAGGGAGGAGGGCGACGGGGCACTGTCTGGAGTGGCGGAGGCGCAGAGTCGTGGAGTCGCAGAGTCGCGGAGACGCGGGACACTGGAGTGGCGGAGGCGGGGAGTCACGGAGTCGCAGAGACGCGCACCGATAGAGGGCGCAATCTTGGAGGAATTTTTTTGAGAACGAAGCATCCATATCCATTTTAAATGGGCTCGCAAATTAGGAAGGGAGGAGGGCGACGGGGCATTGTCTGGAGTGGCGGAGTCACAGAGTCGTGGAGACGCGGGACACTGGAGTGGCGGAGGCGCGGAGTGGCGGAGTCGCAGAGACGCGCACCGATAGAGGGCGCAATTCTCTGCGACTCAACGATCAATTTTCGGAGGTAGGTCGACTGCGGCTCCACGCCTCCACGCAGTCGTATACGGAGGCGTGGATGTAGAGTTAAGTGGCCCTGCATTCTATAGTTGTACCTTCTGCAATTGTGCCATAGGCCGTATGCTTCTAAACCGTTGAGACAACTCGAGACGGCTCGACCGGGGAAGACAACTCGACCATTGAGTCAATTCGAGTTTGGACAGTCATTGACAATGCTGTCATTGACATGGTGGCAGACCGTTGAGCATGTTGAGACAACTCGACTTTGTGGAAAGTATACATGTACATGTGTCACGTGGCGCTACTATGTAGCCTCATACATGTCATAAATGTGGCCAATTTACTGGACTACCTCCGTAAATGAAGGCCACACATGTCAAACTTTGTCAAATTTTGATTTTCACATTCAGGCTTAGTTTGTCATGTTTGTAGTTTATTTTTGATTTAAAAGCATACTCAGCCTCTTTATAGGCTAATCAGAAAGTGCTGCCTTTTTCAGATGTCTAATTTTCGTGATATTTTGATATGCAAACGGGTGCAAATTAAATTGGAAATTGGCCACATTTATGGGGCTACGAACTATGATGCTCTGCGTGAGCGGAGCCTCATAGACACAGAACCCCATAAAATTGTTTACAGCAAGAAACACCAACTAAGTACAAAAACGTCCACCAAAACACAGAAATATCCCACAGAACCGCTGCACAGTTTGCCCCTAAACTCCACACAATACCTCATAACATGCTCACGTAAGTTGCGCATTTGACAAACATCGCTGGATTCTGTCGGTTATGAGGCCAAAATGATGAAAAATATGCCCTTTCCACACTGAGCCAACCTGACACTTGAAACATGCACGCAGAGATTTATAGGCCTTCAGTGTATGACAAATCGATGATTGTGGTTCGCTCGGAGGGCGCAGCTGGGGTTAAAGTACAAGCAAAATGATAGTATGCACATGCGTACAAGTGCAAGTACTGTACCCCCCGCGGCGTGCTTCAAGCAAGCAAACCAAAAGTCATCGGATTTGGTCCCCGCTTTTCTGAAAACATGCCCGACTTGACTGTTTGGACAACCTGTATTACAATGTACATACATGTAAACACTGCATTCGAATTGACCAATCAAAACTTTAGTCAAGTTTGGGTATGAAATAATCATGGTATAGAAACGTCGACTCCGATTGGCTAGCACGCGACATCGCATGAATTTGCATTCCTAGATATGTCAGATGTTAGACTTGAGATTGGGCTCTGTGGAGAACGGATGGGATACTGAGAGGGCACTATGGATAGTTTAATTGGGGGGGGGGGGGGGGGGAGCTGATCAAAATATGAAACCTTTGACCTTGTCGTGCGGCTATGAAGACTTGCAGACTGGTCGAAGAAATCTGGAATTTATTTGACCGACTGGAATCCACTCATAAAATTGTCTGCATATTTAAATGTATTAAACAAAGATAATCCAAATAAAATAAGTTGATGAATTTTGTAATTGCCAAAACTTGTGGAAAATTCAAGTTGCAATGTAGTTACATGTACACATTTAACGACCTACATTTGTATTTCAACCAAATTCCACAGTGGTCAATTTCTGTTGTATGGTTCATCTGAGCTGTGGGGTTCTGTTGGATTCCAGAGTCTCATTTTTATGGGTTTCTTTGAGGGTCGAAGGTTCAAAGTAGAATTTAACAATGCAGTTATTTCAGAGCCTGAATTTTGCTTATTTCTTATCTACAAAGAACTGCAAACAACACTCAGTTAATTCTTATTCTGAATGAATTTATTTTTATTCAATTCAAAACTTCTGATTTTACAAGTCAATTTGTATTTAAATGTTACAATAAATTTTGTAAAGTTTCATGAAAATTATATTAAATATTTGTGGAAACTGAAATTGCAGTGCGAGGGAAATGTTTTTGATTATTTTTAAATTTGTTGAAATGGCAACCTACATGTACAGACATGTACAATGTACATGTAGGTAAAAGACTGAAAACAGAGGTATGAAATTTAATTCTTAAAATAGCAAGGAAGTTTCAAGGAGGCAGTCAGGCCAGAATCAAGGCATTGGAGGCCATACATGTGTATCTTTCTGAAATTCAATACATTTGATTTGAACATTCGTCAAAATGACTTGCAGCCTTTCATACCAGTACATTGTACTTGAATAATACATGTATATGTATTTTAGCAACAAAGAAGACAAATATATATATATGGAAAAAAATCTAATCAAGATAAAAACTGTAACACAAGTCTTTATTCTGAGAATTTAGACACCGACAGGAAACCAGATTAATTGGATTATTACAAGGCATTGTGGCTCATCCGGCTACATGTAGGTGGAGTTCGTTAGACTTGGCTGCCAGTCAACCTAGGAGAAGGACCACTCTGATCACAAGCCCGGGTAGGTAGAACTCGTTAGCCTAGGTTGGCAGTCAACCACCGGCGTGTGGTCATGCCCTGGTGCCCATAAACCAGATGCCTAGCCATGGGTGGATGGCCTCACTGCCTTGTGAGTGCTTCGGGAGGAACTAAGGCTATGGGAGTAAACCCCGACAGAAAATCAGGAGTTGAGCCCCGTAGGCATTTGTAAGTCGCATCACTAGACATTCTGCCGGCAGCTCCTGCAGCTGAAATGCTGCCAGACGCATTGCTATGCTCTCCTCTGGACTACACCAGCAAAGCCGAGAGGGGAATCTTGGCAACTGGGCAACCCAGAATTTCCATACCACCTGCCCAGGCTTACGCCATGGAGAGGACACTCCATCTTCACTTTATACAGCGTCGACACAAACACGGAAGACAACAGTTTATGGCCTGTCTCGATTGGCATAGAGTATGGCACCACGGGCTGTCTCCGATGGTAGGAGGGACCTTTGTGTCCCACTGGTCGGCTACCGCCTGCCCACGCTAGGCAGCCCTTAGCAATAAGGTGCTGACCCGCCACAGCCTGCCTGCTCCACTGGGTGTATGGAGCTTACAGCATTTCACTCGACAAGTGGACTGTAAATCCTGCACCAGGCAAAACAATAAGAAGAAGAAGTCACCAGCGCTTCACATCACAAGCTGGAATGTAACAATGTCTACAGGCCTCACCGACAGTCTCCAACAGAAAGACGGCGCTCACAAGACCTAACCGTCTAAACATTGACCGTCCAAACATCGACATCACTGCCCTGCAGGAGACAAGATGAGCAGGGAATGATTCCCTCAAAGAAAAGAACTACACCTTCTTCTGGCTGGGGGGGTGGGGGGGGGTGGGGAGGCTTCGCTGTTGAGAATATTCTCTTCTCACTTCAGTGGAGCCCCCAACAAATGACACTGAGAGCATTCTTCTCTTTCGCCTCTCACCCAGCTTAGGAATGGTCAACATCATTTCTGTTTATGCCCAAACTCTCCTGTCATCCCGAGACCACAAGGACCAGTTCCACAGTGACCTTCATTGCTCCATCAGCAAGATACCAACTGGTGAAGACCTCTACCTGCTTGGCGACTTTAATGCTAGATTGGGTGCAGACCAAGTCTCCTGGCCAACCAAACTTGGTCACCATTGAATGGGAACCACCAACGAGAATGGACAAAGGGTACTGGAGCTGTGTTGCAGCCACGCTGCATAACCAACTTGTACTTTCCCTCCAGCCCACAGCATAAAGTTTCATGGATGCATCTTAGGTCAAGACAATGACACCAGCTGAATCTCATCATCAGAGTGCACCACTGAAGACTAAAAGTGGTGAAGCCATCACTGACAGGAAGAAACAGATGCAGTGGTGGGTGGAACACTACCTCGAACTGTACTCCACTGTGAACATGGTGGCAGAGGAAACCCTCAGCCAGATCGATTGTCTACCTGTTATGGAGGAGCTCAACGAGGTACATGTACCAACCAGGGCAAAGCTCAAGAACGCAATTGATGCACAGTCAAATGGCAAATATCCAGGAAATGATGTCATTCCACCTGAGGTCACCAAGGCAGGGAAGCCGGCTCTGCTCCCTCACCTGTATGACCTTCTCTCTCTTTGCTGGAGAAAAGGAGTTGTCCCCCAGGACAAGAGAGATGCTAATATACATGTATCATCACACTGTCAAAGCAAAAGGGAGATCGCAGTGACTGCAAGTGTGGTATCTCACTCTTAAACATAGTGATCAAGGTGTTCACTTGTGCCATCCTCTCCAAACGGTAGATCTTGGCAGAACGCATCTACCCAGAATCTCAATGTGGCCTGAGATCAGCAAGGTCCACAGGCGACAGAACCAAAGCCTTCGTCCTTGTCAGCAGAAGCGAACTGTTTAGGGTCCTTAGGAAAATTGGTTGCCCCCTAAACTGAGCTTGATTCCTTCTTTTTAGACAACATGAAGGGCTCTATCAACTTTGATGGAGAGACATCTGATGCCTTCAGCATCACCAGTGGTGTAAAGCAGGGTTGCGTCCTGGCCCCAAATCTCTTTGGGACCTTCTTCTCAGTGCTCCAGCCCTACGCCTTCAGCTCATCCAAAGAAGGAGCCTACACCTGATCGGACGGCAAGCTCTTCAACTGGCTCGCTTTCGTAAAGGAAGCAAAGTTAGCTGAGTCCTCATCTGAGTGATGCTCTTTGCTGATGATGCCGCACTTGCCGCCCGCAACCAGGAAGACCTCCTGCTACTAGATAGACTATCCAAGGCATGCACTGAACTTGGCCAGACAATCACCATTAACAAGACCGAGGTCATGGGTCAGGTCATTGATGCACCACCTTCTATCTCCATCAACGGTGCCTCACTTGAGGCTGTCAACAACTTTAAGTACCTGGGATCGACCATCTCCAGCAACCTCTTCCTTGACGTCAAGATCAGTGCCCGCATTGGAAAGGCCGCAACTCGCACATGAAAGCTTAGCAAAAGAGGTTGGCAGAACAAGAACCTCACAGAAAACACAAAGCTAAAGGATATTAGGCCTGAGTGTTCAGCTCCCTTCTGTATGGCTGAGAGAAAAAGCCAAGAGAAGTTGAACTTTCCATCTGCGCTGCCTCAGGCGCATCCTCGGCATATCTTGGCAGGAAAATGTCACAACGTCTCAGATGGCTTTGCCATATCCAGAAGATGGACAGTTGGAGTTTGGCTCATGTCCCACAGGTGCCCCTGCCTTTGCTACCAAGAGAGTTCTAGTTCAGGCATGCAACTTTTCCTCGGATCAGCTGATTTCCTCTTTTTTCACTTCCAGTGTGTGCGCCATTGAAAATAGAAAAACACTGTACAAAGTCTTGGAAAAATTTGAATTTCCTCTTTTTTTGTGACTTCCCAGTTGCATGCCTGCTAGTTGCTGCAGCGATAAACATGCAGGTCTGGGAGAACATTGCTGAGGACTGCTACTGCTGGAAGCAGATCGTGCAGGAGAGCATCACACTGATTAAAGATAGCAAAGGAGAGAGCAAGCAGCAGCTACTCCATCCCTGTCCATCTACTCGTGCAAAGTCTGCTGGAGGAACTGCCACCCCAGGATAGGGCTGTTCAGCCACAGTACATGTAGATGCTGCTCAATTATTTTGGATTGATCAGTGTACAGAAGGAGGCAAATGAAGATTGTGGCTCATATTTAGTAAACATTTAAATGATTACATTTTCAACAACATTAGTGTTTCATTAGAAACCCAAATTTACAAAGCTTGTAAATGCAAAGCAACAAAGCAATTTTGGTGAATACTTAGTTTAATTTTGAAAAGTAATCTTATCTAAGTGTACCACAGCTATGTGTGTGCTTAAAGGTACGTTGCACATACGCATGTTTTTTTTGTCTGCATAACAACTTAACAAGTACATGTATTCTGTTCAAGTCGTAGATTAGTGGCTACTACATGTATACATTTTGTATGTAACTGGTTCCTTTAGGTACCCCATTTTGAACCCACCTTCAATGTTTGTTTTCAGACAATACCATTTCAGGTGGGATTATTTCACAGGGTACAATTTATAACACACATGTGGGAAAATGTAATGTACATGTACATTGTACAGATAGCATACATGTAGTATAAAATTGAGTAGCTGTACATGTACATGTACATGTATGATATATTGTCGCGTCAGTGCAACAAGGTCATATCTCCTAAAATGACATAAACGCAAAACGCGAGTTTTAGAATGTCAAAAGGTCGTATCTCGCTTAAAATAACCCGGATGTACACGAAAAGTCAATGGACGTCGAGATACGACCTTGTTGCACGGAGTGTATTCGCGCGAGATACAACTTCAGTTTGTTGCAGAATTGAGTTACGACCTTGTTGCACTGACGCGACGATATTAGGAACAAATAAATATAATATAAGTCTTGTTCAAACTACTACAGCTGATTTCCTCTTTTTTTACTTCCCATGTGTGCCATTGAAAATAGAAAAACACTGTACAAAGTCTGGGAAAAATTTGAATTTCCTCTTTTTTTGTGATATCCCAGTTGCATGCCTGCTGTAGATATCTACATATACCTGTACATTTAGTTGCATGGGCGTCGCGAGGGGGGGGGGGGCAAGGGGGGCACTTGCCCCCCTGGAAAAGCAAAAACAAAAAAAAGAAAAGAAAAGAAAAAGAGGGGCGAAGGCAAAGTGGTGTAAATTTAATGAGTTGGGGGGAGCAAAATGTCCCTGCCCTCTCTAAAACTGATAAATCGAGAATGTGTTGAGAAATACAAGCATTTTTTGGCAAAATTTTTTTTGCCCCCCTCTAGAAAAAATCCTGGCGACGCCCATGTTTAGTGGTGAATACTGTTTATTTGAACATTTCATTTTTTTGACAATACTTTTAAATGATAAAGATGCAAACAAATTTGTCATCAAAAACAATGTGTATTTACACTAGTTTTAAATATGGTAGGATTCTGAGTCTGATGCCTGAGACAAAGCGGAAGCCATAGATGAAGCCAGGGTTTTGTAAACAGCAGAAACAGTTGGTAATAGTACTGGATAGATTTATGGCAAGCCCATACTGAGTGGGGGAAGGGTGTTCGGGTGGGGAGGCGGGGAAGGGGGCGGTCATTTCATTCAAACAAACACATCGAGCACCCACTCTGTAAAAATCAATGGAAATGCATTATAGATGATCAAGACTTTTGTCCGTTGGCTGACTTGAGCAATTTGGTGAGTTGTACGATGTATTTGGCCGGGGTTTACTGTATCAGCCTTTGGGATCGAAATTTGTGAGAACCAATCCCGTGCCTGAGTCTCGTCACTGTCAAAACAATGCCAGCATGAATTGGTTAAGAATTTGCATACTCAAATTAAAATGGTTCTCATTGGAGGAACTGGCAGTTTGAGTTTGTGATTTTTGAGGAGAGATGTGCAATAAGTGGGACACGAATGTTGATTGATGTTGTAATAACTCAACAATTTCATCCTCAACATTTGCTGTTGAGATGATGATGATTGCGAGTCATTGTCGTGTTGGATGACATCATACCTTGTGGTACATTTTGATTGAGTGGCAGTCAGCAACTGCCAGCTTCTGGTCTGATGTGAATGTGATTCCACGTGGGTAGTACAAATGCCGAGCCAGACAATCAACAAACCTGCCATCTAGGTCGTAGTGGTGGATATGACCAGTGCTTAGCCCACGTTTGCTCATTGCAAGGTAGATGCCTGAGCTGTCACAGCATACACCCTGGCAGACCACTGGCTTACCAAAGATGGTTGGTTTGGTGGTGGAGAGTGTGTTACCTTTGTTATCTGCAACTTCCATTTTCTGTGAGTCACCTCCGCTGATCATGACTCTATCAGTGTCCTTATCAACAGCCAGGTAGTGAGGTGGAGTCTGCACTGTTATGGTGTGTAGGATCTCACCATCAGTGAGGCTGTGCTCAGTCCATACCATCCTCTCCACATCACCCACTAAGACGGTTCCCACCTTGACTGCTGCACTCTGTAGGTTCACTTGTGTCTTGCCAACCTGATGCTTTGGCACCGTTGGGAATTTGAAGGCAAGAGTGTTGTCCTTCATGTTGAACACCTTGACGTACTCGCTTCCATCCAACACAAGCCAGCGTTGCTCAGGATTGTGGATGACTGCAACTGCCCGTGGACCTGAGGATAAAGAAAACCTCAAATGTAACATGTGCACACTGTTTAAATGCACTGTCACTATTCTCAGTCCCCATGTAATATAAATTCTGAAGAATACATGTATATAATTTATGTACATGTACTTGATACACAGGGCAAGCCTTATGGCCCAGCCAGCCAAGCTGAATGCATTGCAGCATACTGAGGAATCCAAGGCTGCTGAACTTTTTTTGGTAGTATTGTTGATTGGTGCATTATCCTGTAACCTTGGCCACATTTTGTTCATCTTATCACAAACAAAACTGATGAGTGGTACATGTACATGTAGGATACATATATCATGCATGTACATGTAGGCAATTATTACTCAGGATCAGAGTTGGTAAGTATGATACACGTACAGTACTGCTGTCAGCAACCACCAACCATGCATGTAGTACAACTAAATACATGTACATGTACATGTAGCTGCAACTTTATGGACATATACAATGTGTACTTTACATTCTTTTTATAATATATTTCATGTCTGTACCATTTTTGAGGTTCAACCTGAAAAACAGACTTTTTTTAAACCCCCTTAAAAAGACGCACTTTTAGATATGGAATGATTACTGTTATTTGTGGTCCAACAATAACTCAGCTCTTGCATGGTACACTAGTTTGCCCCATATCAGAATCAATCAGAAACCACTCTTTCACAGGGCAGATTTATTTGCATGCAAAAGCAACCTCAAATAAAAGTAAAGTTTTTTTCAGAAGGTTTGAATTCGTCAAAAATGGGTTTTGCTCAAATTTCTACGTACAAACCAACAATTCTTCAGTAGCATAATGAATTAAAAAGTATTGTTTTTTTTGGTTACAATGGAACACACAGGTTCAGGTATGTCAGGTGGAATAAAAGAAATAATTGTTTTGAAGAGCACTGACAGTTCATGTTTCATTCAATGCCAGCACTGGTTTTGTACTGTTGGTTCACTCTCCACATTGATGTACAAAAATGTACCTAAGATTATGTGCATGTACAATGCGTACATTTGTGTCAATATAGATGTACAGGTACATGAAATAGACTTACGTTGTAGGGCAATGGTTCCCTTATGTTGTCCATCATTGCTGCAGATGACCACTTGGTTGTTCAAGTAGTCTGCCACAGCAATCTCACTACTAGCAGTAATATCTTGAGCCCATTGAAACTCTCCAGGACCGCTTCCCTCTTCACCAATTTCTTGACACGTTTCCCACTTGACTGCTTCTACCTCAAGCTTGCCCAGATTGATGTCACCAATCTTCTGACCCGGGGTGAAGCTCATATATGAAAGCTTGGGATCAATCTGGGGAGGATTTTGACTCTTGATGAGGGATTTCAAGTCTTTGCTGATGATAGGGTAGAGAAAAAGCAGGTCAGCGTCTGATGCAGTATTAATGATATCCTTAGATGTCTCCAACGAATGCTGTTTACTTTGTAGCATCATTGTCAGTGTGTCCTGATGCTCATCATATGTTGTGTTGCGATCCTTCTGGACTTGTTTGATTTCTTCAATCATTGTTGCCTCTTGAGTTGTTATCTCAGCTCTCATTTTATCTGCTTTGTCTTTCACAGCTTTGACAGTCTTTGTGACGTTCTGTTTAAATGTCTGCTTAGCTTGTGATATAGTGTTCAAAGCTTGTTCAAGTCTTGTGATATCTGTGGTGAAATGTGGAAACATATCTTTCAGTGATTGTTTGTATTTGAGAGAAGCCTCACCAGAGTCAATATAGTGATGTTTTGGTTTACAGTGGTCTACTACAGTACAATCTCGGCAAATTAACTCTTCACATGTCTCACAGTAAAACCGTTTCACTTCCCCCTTGTGCTTTTGGCATTTAGACTCGTCGTCTTCTGGTGTTTTTTTCACCGTTATCTTCCCCAGACGAATGTCCTCTAAAATAGCCACTGTGTGGTTTGATGTAGCAGCAAATCGCAAGTGTGTCTTGTGACAGTTTGGGCAGATATTCTGTGCACACTCCAGACAACGATGCTTGGCCTCGTTTCCCTCATCACAAATCTCACAGATGACCTTTGTGTTTTCTGAACAGGCCACCTTTTCTTGGAGTGAGACCTCTTCAACTATTCCCATCAAATGGAAATTTGTTTTTAGTCCTTGAATGCGTGTCTCTGGGAGTACATGTACCATCTCCCGTCGACAAACAGGACAATGAATCTTTGATTCACCTCCATACCTGCTAGTGTAGTATTGCTCCAGACATTTCTCGCAGAAACTGTGCTGGCAATTGAGCACCTTGGGCCGTTCGTATCTGTCTTGGCAGATGCCACACTCAAGATGGGGGCTGATTTTCTTCAGGGCTGAAGCCATTTTAATCTGTAGACAAATAATATTTAAAAAGCAAATGGATAGTTTTTTTACTGTAGAAGTAATGGAAAAATAGACTCACTTTTGTACATTTTCCCTAGGGGCAGTTTTACGGGAAAGGTTGCAAAATGAAAAATAGGAAATAGATGCTTTATTTCATAGGAAGACTTTGTTGGAATTTGCTGGTTTTTGTCTCACAAGGACTGTAATGTTGTAGCAATCTCCAGAAAAAAAATTACAGCTCTGCGCATTATGGTTTTCAAATTATAAGCTCACATGGGTGCTAAAGCACAAGATTTGGAGTCTCATTCACATTTTCTAGAAACTGCAATTGATGAGAATTAAAAATAAATGCCATGGGAACCACCCAGACTTGCAAGGACATTGAAGTATGTCCCAAATATATGTACACCAAATTTCATTAGGATTGGCCAACTCGTTCTTTTGTAATGCCGTTTTGAGTGAGACATTGATATGTTTGTTAAATGTTTTTTTAAAAATGTCCTTTCCTGAACATGGTATTTTTTTCCAGAATTAAAAGAAAGAATACACAACTTATTTCCTGTCAAAATGATGCTACACACTCCAGTATTCAAGTATAAAAAGATGGGAATTGGATAATCACAAGTAAATTTGATACAGCAGCAGTCGCATATGCCATGCAAATGTTTGTTAAAAATGTCCTTTCCTGAACATGGCCCCCCTTTTTTTACAGGAATTCAGAGATAAAACTTTTTTGACATAAACATGTACCTAGGGGTGTACTTACTAGATTTAACAGACTACAAAAAGAATCAGACTCGAACCTTGCTTGCTGTCATGACATTGTCGTTAAACTGCATTGTCCTTTCCTGAACATATAGTTTAACAGAGTACTTGGCAAAACCATTGTTGCAGAAATTTGATGAAGTTTATGCTTATATTGTCTGTAAAGTTTATGTTCTAAAATTAAAACCAACTAAATGGCAAGAAAGTGTTAACATTTTGTTCTTACAGGTCATTTACTCACTCATGATTACACACACAATGAGTAAACATGTGCATATACATGTACATTTATCTTTACAAGTCACACTTAAATCCAATATTTGTCAGGAATTGGCTAATTTACAGTTTCAAACCATCCCTTCCACAAAATACACACATTAGTTTGAGTAAATGTAATCAAAATGTACTGTTTTAGTCTAGTTTCTGTGTATTCAAGTGTTCAGGATAGGACACTTTTTTTAACAAGTTTAACAACATCTGTTATACATTGTACCGCACTGTTTTAACAATTCTTTCTGTGTGCAGCCATTTCATTAGTTTAATTGCTATGAAAAATGGAACAGTCAAGCTTATGCACTGATCATGCACAACTTGTATGTTGATCCTTGTTAAAATGTGTGTCCTTTCCTGAACATGTTTGAAACATTTAACAAGGAACAAGTACAGATACACATGAACCTTCCTCCGTGCAAACATGTACTGTACGTGTGTACAAATTCTTTAAACTGTTTTGGGCTTGATGTGCCTATTCCTTAGATCCCATTTTGTAAAAAGCACCATGCTGACTGAATTTTTTTTCACTGGATGGTACAGTTTAATTATCTAGGCATTTCTTTGTGGGGCATGCACATGTACATGTATACATGTATACCGGTATCAGTGTCTCAATACAAAGTTATGTTTTCACCAGCAGTAATTATAATCATTTGAATGGACATTACTTCAGACCATAGAGCTAGACTAACTTTATTGTCATTCAGGAAATGCATGGTGCTACCAGTACCGGTATGCTAAGCATTGTTAAATAGTTTGTCCTTTCCTGAACGTAAATTTAGTTAGGTGGAGCAATAACAAGGTACAAACTGATCTGCCTCACACATGTATAGCCTCCCAACTCTAGTTTTATGGTTATATTTCTTGTATTATGTTGCTTCATAAGATCAAACTTGACTGAATGTAGTAATTGTTAAAATTGTTGTCCTTTCCTGAACATAGTAAACCCTTTTCATAGCAATGATAAAGACCATGGTAACTCTGTAACGCAGCACACTATATACACAATTTTTTTGCCAATTGTTCTACCATGTACACAGCCTTTGGACAAAAGTGCAAATAATCAGCAGGCTGCATGGTTTTCCGTAAATCAGAAATGAAAGTTTGTGTTTCAAGGAAAAGAGAGCTATAAAATTGAATTTTCCGTCAGTATATGAAAAAACATGGTATTTTTCATAGCCTAGAGTGCATTAATATTCAAGACATGACTACTGTGATGACTATCAATCATTTTAAAGCAACTCTAAGCATGTTTGAGATGTGGAATTAGCAGTTTATGATACCTACCTTTATTTGACAAATTTTATGGTCTGTAAAGTGTAAAGTGCCTTAAAATTGAAACGAAAAAATGTTTAAGCCTTGACTTTAACATTTTCTAGTACCTTTATGTATGTACTTTCAACAAATAAACATGTTGTATCCATACAAAAAGTTTCATTTTTGACCCCCCGTGAGACTTTTTTGCAACCTTTCCCGTGAAACTGCCCCTAACTCCCTAAGCATTTATGCTACATTGTAGGATGTAACCTCAATCCTACAAAATCATCCGTTGTATTATTTGCAGTCTAAAGCAAACTGTGGTTTCCTAAGCTATCCTTTAACCTCATTCAATATAACTGACTAAAACGGTATTTTTTTTACCTCTTTTAATTCCCAGGAAAACGACTGACGGACAAAGTTTTTCCACTTTGATGTCAAGAGCACAAGCAGTTGATGCTTTCGATGAGGCTGATCTGGGTAAGATGGCGCTGACAAACTCAGACTTGTCATTAAGTCATGGGACATGGTTTATATATAGAGCTTGGATTTTGGTTTTGCTGCATACACAGTACACAGGTACATGTACATTTTACATTACACATAATGCAATCTGTATCTGTTTATCTATGTACATAAACTTGAGTTTTGGACCTTAGATAGCTTCATGCATTCTGCTGGTACCTATGTACATGTACAGGATGCATTTTGCTCAGTTTCAATCGCATACACCTTATTAGCATCAATTCCACTCTTGTGTTATTTCAACCATCAAATAAGTTCTAAACATATTGTCCTCCAATGTCTTTTTTTCAAACTTGTGTTATTTGAACCGTCAAATAAGTTACAAACATATTTTCCTCGTATGTCTTTTCATACTTCACACACTAACCGTATAATTTTGTAATTGTGTAATAATAAATACTCATCAAGAAGTTTTATTCAACTTGCAGTTATCACCTCGACCAAAAATAAATTCCACTCAGTTTTAAACTTGTTAACACAAACAATGCATATATGCTACCGAGGAAAGTACATTCACATGTAGGTGTATTAATGGTGTACACTGAGGATAATGAACAACACAATTGTCTGTAAATAACGCCCCCCCCCCCCAAAAAAAGTCTCCGGTTTCTGGTCTGTGCGCACGTCGCCGTAGCCGTACCCATCCGCAAAATTAAAAAGTTTTTTCAATGTAAGATGATGTCTAAAAACTGCCAAATTCACTGGTTTGACTGGATTCGAACTTCTGCAAAATTTTAACGTTTTTTTAGATCGGGTTACGATCGAGTTTAAGCTTGATGTGGCCTCTCTGGGCTCCCATATATTTTACTCTAAATATAGTCCGGTGTAGCGTGAATATCCGACTCCATGAAATGTGGACTCATTGGTAGTACTGCGCACGCGTGAGTACGATACTGTGCTATTTTTAGGATCATTTCGGGAGAGTGACCTGTCACGTGCGAGGGATCAACCAATAATAGGGAAATAGGGGTCCGATTTTCATAGGAGTCGAATTTTCATGTGACACCGGCACCATTTGCAGACGGTGTTGTAGTTTTGTAATTGTGCGTCTGGAAGCCAGACTGATAGGGAGCGATGTTTGTGTATCTGGAATCTGTAAATTCCGTTTAATTTACGCAATATGTAAGGGAGCAGACTAATGACCAGCCTGGCAGCACATGCACGGTGTCGATGTCGTTGTATGGTCTGACGTTACCGTTTTCTCTAATTTTTGTCTTGACTATCCAAATTTCCCGAAGAATGTTCGTGTTGGTCGAGATTGTAAGTGGATGCAGAATTCTCAAGCCTTATGGCCTTGCTCAAGCCTTATGGTCACCTCAAGCTCCACCCTGAAGGATATTTTTGGGCATTTTAAGGAGATCGAAGCATCATCTGCAACATCAGCTGACATTTGAAGAAAAAAAAATTGCGTCGCTGCACCACTTTTATACCAGAAACTGGAGACTTCTTTTGGGCTTAGAGAACACTATGTCCTCAGTTGGAAACCATCACAAACCAAATGAGAGGAGTTGCCAAAAAGTATCGTAACTGCCATCAGAAGGACAGTGGGAAGTCCTCCATGTACATGTATAATGTACACTTTGTGGCATTGTGAAAAGTGCCGAGTTTTAGAGGAGATGAATCACCATAATATTGAAACAGTGTATCAAAGCTACATTCTTAACTCTAACCTCCTAGGCCCTTGTTGCTTACAACCATCCTCAATCCTCCAAAATCCTCCAAAATTTTTCAACTCCGCCTAAATTTTTCAAAATTGTCAGACAGTCCTGCCTCAAAATGCATTCATCCTCAATCCTCCAAAATCCTCCTCATCCCAAAACTTTGCACTCATGTTTAAATGAAGGATAACCAACGCCAAATCCTTCAAAATCATCAGACAGTCCTGCCTCAAAATGCATTCATCCTCAATCCTCCGAAATCCTCTTGTGCTTCAATCACCATTCATCCTCAATCCTCCAGAATCCTCATTTGATTCAATCACCATTCATCCTCAATCCTCTAGAATCCTCCAAAACCGCCAGGAGGATTTTGGAGGAGTGAGGTGGGTTAGGGTTAATGTATACATTTTCAGAATGCTTTAACCGTTTTTGTAACATGGCTTTCATCCTGTCTGGCTTGTTTCCAGGGTGTGAAGGGCATCACCTCAAACTCCCTTGACAACAAGATGAGACCATTCAAGGAACATCGTTACGCTCTTGGCAGGATTCTATGTCATCAAGAAGAGATTGAATGAAGATCTTGAGAGAATGTTGGCTGACAGACGATAAGAAGTCAAGAAGATGACAGTCTACACACCAAGTCAAGTAAGAATCACCGCATCAGCTAGCTTTGATGACTAATGATCCTGCACGTACTTTTAATAATGTCTTGGAACCTTCAAATTAGAGCTGTCTGTTTGAATATATATGTGCACCTTGTACAATGTACATGTACATGTAGCAGTGGGTACCGTAAACAGTTAAGCCAGTGAATGCCTGACTGTCAGCCAGTAGATGTTGAAAAATGTCAGGAGTCTTTACAAAAATGTAGTTCAGATCCTACTGAAGACAGTCCTGCCTCAAAATGCATTCATCCTCAATCCTCCAAAATCCTCCTCATCCCAAAACTTTGCACTCATGTTTAAATGAAGGATAACCAACGCCAAATCCTTCAAAATCATCAGACAGTCCTGCCTCAAAATGCATTCATCCTCAATCCTCCGAAATCCTCTTGTGCTTCAATCACCATTCATCCTCAATCCTCCAGAATCCTCATTTGATTCAATCACCATTCATCCTCAATCCTCTAGAATCCTCCAAAACCGCCAGGAGGATTTTGGAGGAGTGAGGTGGGTTAGGGTTAATGTATACATTTTCAGAATGCTTTAACCGTTTTTGTAACATGGCTTTCATCCTGTCTGGCTTGTTTCCAGGGTGTGAAGGGCATCACCTCAAACTCCCTTGACAACAAGATGAGACCATTCAAGGAACATCGTTACGCTCTTGGCAGGATTCTATGTCATCAAGAAGAGATTGAATGAAGATCTTGAGAGAATGTTGGCTGACAGACGATAAGAAGTCAAGAAGATGACAGTCTACACACCAAGTCAAGTAAGAATCACCGCATCAGCTAGCTTTGATGACTAATGATCCTGCACGTACTTTTAATAATGTCTTGGAACCTTCAAATTAGAGCTGTCTGTTTGAATATATATGTGCACCTTGTACAATGTACATGTACATGTAGCAGTGGGTACCGTAAACAGTTAAGCCAGTGAATGCCTGACTGTCAGCCAGTAGATGTTGAAAAATGTCAGGAGTCTTTACAAAAATGTAGTTCAGATCCTACTGCTTGTTTTCTTTTTTATTGATCAAAGGGTTTGATTCTTGTTTATTTCCAGAGTTGACCTCAGTGAACTGAAAGGAATCGAAGAGTCTTTGGTTCAGATCCTACTGCTTAATTGTTTCTTTTTGACCAAAGGGTTCGATTCTTGTTTATTTCCAGGGTTGACCTTAGTGAACGGGAGAGAATCGAGGAGTCTTTGAATCAGATCCTAGTGCTCGTTTTCTTTTCTATTAGTCCCTTGTTTGATTCCTGTTTATTCCCTTGTTTGACCTCATAGTTGTAAAGGTATAAGTGTCTTTGGTTCAGATCCTACTGCTTATTTCTTATCCATTGGCCCCTGGTTCGATTGCAGTTTACTGCCAGGTGTGACCTCAGTTATCTGTAAAGGTCTTTGGTTCAGATCCCACTGCTTATATTTTCTTATCCATTTGGCCCCTGGCTCGATCGCAGTTTATTCCCAGGTGTTTTAGTTATCCATAAACGAATTGAGGAGTATTTGGCTTAAGATGTTACTACTGTTTTTGTTTTCTGTTCACTTCGGTTCGATTCCTGTTTATTCCCTGATGTGACTTCAGTTATCGTTATAAGTTAAAAGGAAGTGAAAAGTCCTTGGTTCAGATCCTACTGCTTGTTTTCATTCCTATTCGTCCATGGTTCAGTTCCTTTTTATTCCCTGGTGTGACCTCAGTTGTCCTTAAATAATGAGAAGTCTTTGGTTCAGATCCTATAGGGGCATGGTGCTTAATATTTTTTTTTATCCATTGGGCTCTGGTTCGATTCCTGTTTCATCTCAGGTGTGACCTGAGTTATCCTGGAGAGAATTGTGGAGTCAAGTCACTAAAATACGATTTGTGGTAAATTGTTAGAGGTTTTCCACTTTTGATGCAATGAGTCTGAATAGTTGTAACCTTAGGGGGTGGATCCCAGATTTGAGACATGCACATGCACTTGTACAGTTCATTATATTGTTTGCTTGTTTGATATGTTTACTCTACACTTGAGTTTTGTATCTTGGACCCGAGATAGATAATTTGGAATACTTGCATAAATGTGCATGTATACACCATCAGGTTGCAGACTAGTTCTTATAAAAAAAACAATTTTTTTTTGGGGGGGGGGGGGGGGGTAATGCAGTGATGTGGGAGAAATTTCCATACTAAGATGATCACCCCAAAATAGTCAAGAAGCCCATCGCCATTTTGAAAAAGATGCCTATGCTTCATTGCAAACAGAACAATTTTAAGGGCCCACTAGAATTTCGTCTAAATTTCATAGAAATATTTTTGCAGACCTGTTCATGGCTTCCACCCATCTTTTTGTACAAACCTTCAAGTTCATGGCCCACAAATACTGTTAATAGAAGAACATTTTAGGCCCTATAAATCATGATTGGGTTGGCGTAGGCAGTGTTGGGTATATTTGCAGGCCTGCAGCCTACATGTATGTACATGTATATTGTTATGTCACTCCAAGCTTTTTCATCAAATCTGATGTTAAGTAATACATTTATTCAAGTACATGTACATGTACACATACCTTTTCCTTCCAATCTGATTCTGTGACATAATGTACTCATTTAATCCTTCTTTGTTGTTCTGTTATTAAAAAGTCCCAATTAACAAGTTTGAATTTCTATAGAAGATGTAAATTCCTTTGACCTACACGTACACATGTAGCTCACAAACCAGCTTCAAACCAGTTGCCAGCCCATCTGGGTTGTTTCATTGAAATCTTTCATATAATGAGTGTCCAATCAAAACTTGATTGTTTAAAAAGAATTGTGGGATGAAATGACATTAGAGTAGTCTTTTCTCATCAAATTGTGTCTATTGCCATGTTATAGGGAAGATACAACATTTGCAAACATCAAAAAATGAAATTATCAAATTATCACGAAATACCTTACTGAATTGTTGGGGACTGACAATCTAAAGCATCCTGTAAAATTGTGGCTCCTGGGGAACTGACATTTTTAAGAAAAACTGTATTTTTGCAACGCTGGTCAGCCGACCAGCATTGGAGAAAACTTTTTTTTTCTTCAAAAACTGATCCTAATTTGATTGATATCACCCCGACGCAAAATTCCAACTTATAATAGTTTATGCGGTACCCGCTGCTATGTACATCAGATTCGAACCAGCCTACCGATCCCGTTAGCTCGGTGGTCGAGTGGTAAGACATCTGCACTAGAAAGCAGGAGGTCGTGGGTTCGAGTCCCACCCGAGTGATTTTTTCCAACTTTCACTCGGGAGGTAACACACTGAGTATACAGTGTTTAAACGTCGGTGAAGGGCAAAACCAAATTTGATTGATATCACCCCGACGCAAAATTCCAACTTATTTTCGTATTTAGTTATGAATTCCACATTTTCTTTGCAATTGATTACACACCTACTATATATAAAGGGGTACAAGCCTGCTAGACTGATTCTTTGACCTTACAATTCCCCAAATTTAGTCTTTACATTTCTCTGTTTCATCTTAAGTAGGGTCAGGGAACCAGACTACAAGAACATGATTGTTTTTTTGGTTTTTCCAGCATATAAAACAAGCCAAATGTGAAACAATTCAGTTCAACAATATTTGCTATAACATACTAATCCTCCAAATCCATTTATTTCTGAAAATTGCAGCAAAAACAAATGTTGTACATTCCCTTTAATAGCTAGGCCATTGGTTTTGTAATTTTGGGCCAATTTTGAGACGCACTGCAAATACACGTTTTCTATTTAATGGCCACCCAAGCCACAATGCAAAACAATATCCCGAAATTGACTACATGTATATCACAACAAGGCGTCACACTTTAAAAGTCATCCATGTTTGGGCCCCAGCACATGTTTTTGAAAAAAAAGGAAAATAGTAATAATAATTTGCTGTTATGAGATTGGGATGAGATTCTGCAACCCCCTTGCTTACAGTAACCTTCCAAAAAGCAAATGTTGATAGAGGGAAAGAAAGTCACTGTCTGATGCAGTCTTTGTGGAGAGAGTGCAATAATGTATCGATTTGCTTAATATTGTTCATGTTGTTAAAGTCAATACACTAGGTGTATCTGCAAATTGTCCCCCTAGTTGTACTCCCAACTTACCAAATCCTAAAATATTACAAAAGCCTACAAAATTATGAAAATTAGTTTCCCCTAGGAACCATACCCATCATAGCAAATTCCAACAGGGAAACTGCACACATATTTGATTCTGGAGGTGTGCCAACCCATTGTAAAAGACTGTCAATTTAGGGGTCCAGTAACAAAACATGTTATTTGGTTTGATGGGTTGAGTTCTGTAATGGGGTTTGGCATAATTCTGTGTATTTTTCTCAATAATTTTGAATTTTTTTTTTTCAATTTCAATTTCATTTTGAGCAGCTCATCACCTTTATTCCATGGAGCCTTGCATCATTCACCTACCACCATGCCAGTCCAGTCGCCATGGCAACTAAACAGCCTCAAGCCCTGCCTCCAACAGCTATTGGATAAGATCGGCAGAAGTGAGCGTAGTCAAGGGCAACACAAGACACCTGTCAGCTTTGTTGTTGTACCTGTCAGTGATCTGGGTTACCCTGTTGGTTCACTAGGGAGTAGCATCTGGGCTTATACACCAGGTAAGCTCAGTTTTCATTTACCACACACTTTCATCAGAACCAAAAACTGGAAAACTCTCTCTGACGACCCAACAGTAAAATGGGTACCTGATTCGTTCAGGGAAGGTAAGACGGTGAGAGGAGAGGACTGGGCCCCGCCACTCATATGCCGCGCCCAAGACACAGTGGACCTCTAACATCCCACTGCCCCTACGGCCAGTAATGGCTATGGGATCTTTACCTTTTACCTTTTCATTAGATGCGTGAAAACTTACTACATGTATATCTGAAGCATCGAGATAATAGGAGAGTAAAATATTTTCTTGGCTCGGGACTCCATAGTCTGGTTCCCAGACCAAACGATTCTGACTATTCCTGAGGAATCTTAGGTCAGGTAGCCTCCGGTAGTACATTGTATTACAATTTACGTCACGTGACTAAAACGGGAGGAATTTCTCCTTTTTCCGAAATTTTCTGAAGTTTAATTGCCAAATTTGTTTCGTCGACAAATCGGATAGTGCCCGAGTATTTCCGAGTATGATATAGGTTTAATTAACTGCTAATTGCTTATTATTATTTTTTTTTAAATGAGTTGATAATTAGTATTCATTGCCCTCATTTTAAAAACTTGAAATTCAATGACGATTTTGTGCATCAAATATACTCGGATCTTATGGGCAAACTTTTTGCTGCGTCATGTACAATTTTGAATTTGACGACCATTACCAATTATTTTCCAAAACTCGGTCTTCATTCGGCTCCAACTGCTAACAGTGCTATTTGGGTGCTTGATTTTGAAGATTCCAGATCAACATTAGTCAATATTATCTTACAGAAACATCAAACTGTATTATCATAACTGTATGATATTACAAAGCAAGTGATTTATTGAAAAAAAATTAATTGATCAGAACATTAAAAGCTAAAAGTGATAAAGCGAAATCAGAAACGTAGCCGAGCTTTGAAAAAGGGCCGCCATGTTCATTTTTAGCCACGGAGGCTGCCTGACCTACAATTTAGACGTGAGCGTCGGGAATATTTGTCAGGTCTTGGAACCAGACTAGGTACTCAAAAATTCTAATTGAAAAACTTACATGCACATGTAGCAAAATGATTAAAACAATGCTATCAAAACCAACTCTGAAGGATATGATAATATTTAAGTTCAGGCTATGAAAAAATATTTTAAAATAGACTACTGTGATCTCTACACTGTCAAGAGAGGATGGCTTCCAACATGTCCAAATGAACGAGTAAGCATCACACTCCCCCCCCCCTCCCCACCACCCCCATTACACTCAATTATCATGAGTTCAGGACTTGAAAACAATTTACAACAACACAAGGCAGTTAAAGATGGTCCAGAGTATGCACAGTCTTTTTCAATTGATTAAGTCATTGGTGTTACAGGGTAATCCTATACAACAGCACTGCCCAGCTCACAAGTGACAGTGAGTCGATCCGTGAGGTACAAAGAGGACTGTAGGCTGGCCCTCTGGGACCAGCACAAACTGAACAGCGATCATTGAGAAAATAGAGAAATCAAAACCTCATCAAGATGTACCTTGTGTACTTGTTTGGTACTTGGTTGGTTCTTCTCCTAAGGACTTTACAAGGGACAATAACTAGGAGGCCAGAAACACGGGGGCAAACCCTTTCTCTTAGCGACAAGTGTTACTGGGTACTTTTACGTGCGTTAGGTTTTATACAACGCACATCCGAAGGACGAAGCAATAATGGTTAAGTGCCTTGCTTAAGGGCACAAGTGTCCGGGCCCAGGCTCGAACCCACGCCACTGTGGCCTCTGGAACACCAGAGCATGAGTCCGGTGCTCTTAACCGCTAGGCCATGACACTCCACAGCGCGTCATCAAGCGTGTATCTCAAGACATTTACTGAAGTGTCATCATGCTTGCGAGCTCTAACTTTACTTCCCTGGTTATTCCCTACAGACACCTGTCAGCCGGTTTGGTGAGCAACATGAGCCAATGTCTGGCATGCATCATAACATGGCCATGGGAGATGGGGGAGGGGTGACAACTCACGGAATGGCAGGAACGGTCTGAAACCCAGTAGCTACCATGCAACTTCATGGCACCAACCCAAAGGTGGGTCCTGTCTCAAAGCTTAAGTCCTTGTCTATATTATCAGGCTATTGTCTAGTTCATACTTCAATCGAAAGGAAGTGCAAAGTGAAATGCATATCGTCAATAATGGTGGACGCGCTTCAAACGTATTGTCACAAATTTGCGCCGCTTTCGCGTGAAGTATGAACTGGGCTTAAAAGTGAGGCAGAACTAGGCACAGTAGAAAAATAAAAAAATTGAAAGGGAATGAATTTTTTTCTTCTTTCAGATTTATTGATATTCTTTGACATGTGTACTACACAAATTTGAAAGCAGTGGTATCAAAATCACGGAATAAAAGAGTTTTTAAGGAAAGATAATTAGCATGTTTGATTGTCACGAATACAAAACTCGAAATTTCAATAAATTTATTGTCAATAAATGCAAAATGCCCTAAAATGGATCTATTTGGCATAATTTGCAATGGAGCATAGGCCTCTATTTTCAGAATGGCGATGGGCTTCAGGGCTGCTTTTAGGGGTGATCATCTTTGGATGGAATTTTCTCCCCAAAATCATTGGATAATGATAACAAAAATTGAACAGAAAATGAAAACTAATGAAATAGGCTTTAATTTAATGCGTGTCTTGAACACTTCAGAGAGTTGTGAGTATATTTAATAATTTTGGGAAGTGCGCGTAATTAGCACTAAGGTCTATTATAATGGTACAACCTTAAATAGTTTGTTGACACAAACTACACGTTCTAAAATAAAATTTTCACAACATCATTGCATGTAGTTGGGATCAACGAAACAATTCTCATGTTTACTTTTATTTTTATATGAATTTGATAAATTAATAATTTGCAATTTGCAATTTTGTCTTCCCAGGTGTGGGGAGCATTAAGGGAACTGGTCATGTGACATGAGGACACCTCTCCATCCATACCTACAGAGGGCGCTGTTCATCACATTCGCAGCATCCACGAGAGATAGTTAAGTTAATACATTTTTCATACATGTAGATGTCCAGCACCCATAGAGGGCGCCATAATGCTATCTGGTTTGTTCACAGACATATTGACACATACATGTAGATTGCCAGTTGTGTGCTTGAAACTGTGATTTGATAAAGTACCGCACAAATTTAATGTATGGGCAAAACGTGACATTTGTTGACAGCGCGCAAAAATGCTGTTTGGGTTCAATGTGCCGACGCGCCTAGAACGCTACATAAAATAGCTGTATTACTCAAAATTTTCATAAAAGTGTCGGGTAACGTATTGGTTTAAGTCTACATGTGGTAAATCATATACTCAAGGGAATCATTTTTACAATAAAAAAAATTTACTTCATTGAATTTTGTCACTTGTTTGATTGGAATTCTTCATCTACATGTATCTGTAAAAACCCTATGTACCGAGAAGTAAATTTGTTTTTATTTCAGTCAGGCACCGTGCAGATCACGAAATGCCCATGTTGTTTTGAAGAGGACCTGCGGGTCTATGCGTTTATATGTCTGTGGCCTTGGTTTGTTGCCTTACCTCCCAAAAAATTTGTTGACAACATAATTACAAGAAAAATTTGAAAACAAAATAGTTATGGTTAGGCCAAAAAAAAAAGTCTCCGGTTTCTGGTATGCGCGCACGTTGCCGTAGCCATGCGCGTCGGCAAAATAAAAAAGTTTTTTTTTCAATGAAAGATGATGTCTCAAAACCGCCAAACTCACTGGTTTGACTGGAATCCTGCTGCTGCACAATTTTAACGTGTTTTTAGATAGGGTTATTATCGAGAATAAGCTTTATGTGGCCTCTCTGGTCTCCCATAATATTTGCACTAAGTTTAGTCGGGCACCATTTGCAGTCATCAGCCGACATTTGAAGCAAAAAAACAGGTAAAAAAATAAGCCGCTTCGCCGCACCACTTTTTGGGCAAGCTCCATACCAGAAACCGGAGACTTTTTTTTTTTGGCCTTAGCCTTGGAAGAAAAAAAAGAGCCAAATTCTAATTCTAGGAAATTGAAGATGATTGTAAACAGTGATTAGTTTTTATTTATTTTTGTTTGTGAAAGGGAATATACAACAATTGCTTCTGCTGTAATTTTCAGACATGGATAGATTTTGGGGGTTGGTGTTTTATAGCAAATACTGTTACACTGATTTGTTTGAAGTTTTTTGAGTTCGTAGATTTATGCTGGAATAATGTTCTTGTAGTCTGGTTCCCGGATCCCACTTCAGATGAAACAGAACAGTTTTATAGACATCGGGGAATTTTAAGGTCAGGGAACCAGTCTTGCCGGCTTGTACCCCGGCGTTCATTGCATGTAAACGATTTCCCAAAAAAAACATGTGTACTATTAATAAAACTAAATATGGTAAAATGGGGGCAGTTTTTTGAAAAAAAAGTTTTTTTCCAACGCTGGTCGGCCGACCAGCGTTGGAAATTGATACAAAAATGCCACTTTTCTTGAAAATTAATGTACACCAGGTGTCATGATTTTACAGGTTGCTTTAGACTGTCGTTTGCAAATGTTGTGTATTATAATTCCATTTCATGTACAACAATTGAAAAATCTCTGCTTTTTTATTGGCTTAAATTTGTGTGTTTGAAGTTGGCAGGCTACTCATGTTAAAAATTTGAAGTTAATTGAAACCAATCTTGGAAACTGTTAGTTGAAGATATGTTTTGTTAACATGTACGTTACAACATTAAAGGTCAGTGAACATGTGTGACCTTTGACATCTGTTGTCTTAATAGTAGTTTATCAGATAAAATTTCCATTCCATAGAGCTGTAGTAAACCATAGGAGCTTTTACTCCTCATTCCCTTGCACACTTCCAAGTTGTCCTTGTTTTCAAAGTTCATGAAATTGTGCTTGAAGAATATACAATCATGTACATGTACATGTACGTGTAGCGAGATAATACTCTTGAGTACATGTATATTGTTCAAGTGATGTCGCCGAATATGAATTGCTGTTTTTGGGGTTTTTTTTGCACTTCGTACGTGCTACTAAAATATCAAAGATACATGTACACATGTATGGCGGAACAGGCATGTGATCTGTGAAAATAAATAAATTTGAAAATCTGCGCAGCGCATTAGTGTGAAAGGACATGAAATGGAACTATAATTCAAATACACTATTAGATGTACCGGTATAGACGTATTAAATTTTTGAGCTTATTTCTTTTGATCTATGCACAAACATGGATGCATGCGCCCAGCAAAGTTCATCCTATTCGTATATGAATATGCTCTCTAATAATTTAATATAGCTCTTTGGCCCGAGTAAATGCACATGTGCAGATACTAATCTAGAATAGCAGGGAGTGCGTATCAGTTCATAAGAGGTTTTCCTTGCAACAATAAAACAAAACACAATGGAGTGTGTTCATTGGAAAAAGTACACCAGAATGCAAGTCAATTAAAATTTTGTTTGTTGGTTGGTTGTGATGACGAGGCCCGGATTTGCCAAAAGATCTCTCTCATAGGATGCCATCTTTGTAAATTGTAGGAAAAAACATTTTGAATACCTTTAGGTGCGTGTGCGCATTGTGCAAAATGTTCTAAACACCCGCATGTGTTGCTTGAACATGTCTTCATAATATGGCGCAGCCAATGTGCATCATGGCAATATGTGACGTCATTTGAGAGATACCCATATAGACAAAGAAGGAAAGTTTATCTAGGGCCTATGAAGATGTTTGGGCGTATGAAAAATTTGAGTGCCTTCAAAAATACCACAGTGTGGCCTGCCTAGCTGGCTTGCATAGTACAGCTTCATAAAGCATCAACAAAAAAATTGTGTTTTTAATTTTAATTTTATTTTTTTCGCCTTGGGTGAAGCTTGGGTCTTTGAAATACTTTATCCAGCCCTTATCTTATAAAAAGCTCAAATTCGAAGAGGAAGTGTCTAATTTAACATCAACGAAAACGAGTGTTAATTCAGATCCCAAAAGTACAATGCAACTTTAATGATATGAAGAACCCTCATCTTTCGAGTAATATCCATCGTTTTCTAATTATGTTCTTGATTGAATAATCATGAAGCTTCCATGAAGCCTGTACAATTTCAAAAGAATTTCAAATAATTACGTGAACTATAAATCTGTAAACAAAAATTAAAGTCTGCAAATAGCAAGAAAAGTACAATCAGAATTAAAGTCAGCCTTATGCCGAGAAATTGTCCAAGAATTCAATAAATAAAAAAAACAGAGCATATTGAGCACAAACATTTATGTCAGAATGAAAACTTTCCTAATGTGCAGCAATAACAACGCATTTGAAAAATCTGCTGATCTAAAATGAAATTGTGTGTATTGATTATCAAGTGGAAAGAATGTAGTATCCTGACGCCACTTCTGTGATTGTGTACAAAATTAATGCTTTTTTTTAAGTCTATACATGTAGATGTATTTTTAAAGTATTTCTAACAACACTAAGAATGTTTCCCAAATTCATGTCTTTAATTTTCAACATTTTTGCAATAACTGACCTTTATTGAGATAATATATAGTGAAAAAAGTGGCGTCCGGATGCAACATTACCATAAAGTCTTCAAGAAGCCCGTAAAATTTCAAGAGGAATCGTGTAGCAAGTAGCAATTAAAAAACAAATTTACAAATGTGCATGTACATATAATCAAAAAGATTTTACGCTGCATTATTTGTACACTCCAAAGAGTCATGCACAACTCTGTAAGAAATTGTATTCGATCACTTTTTATGCTTTTTAAATTGCTCCATGAAGCCAGCCTACATTTTTCAGGAACTGAGAAATAAATCTCAGATTTGCAAACATTAAGGCCTACATTAGTACAATTATTTACCTCCGAAAATTACAAAGTGATTAACTCTGAAACAAAATCTGAAATTCTTACCGGCACCAGACTATCATGTGACCTGTAAACAGCTTGACAAGAGAGGGTAATAAGCAACACAAAATCATTGAAGCATGAAAAACCTACTCCGACAGCAATCCACACGGTCAATTGCGGAAGGCCCTTCAACCAGGTCACATCAAGACCCTCACGCTAAGAAGTCTCCATCTAACTCAAACACCACTGGCAACCAGCATTCCTGCAGTCTTATATGAGCTTTAACGGGCAACAAGAAGTGCAGCAACATCCAAAAAGGAAAAGGCCAACTACCTGACTGAGTGGACCACAGGATAAGCTGAGACTCCAAATAAGAAATCCACAATATCCCGTCCAAAACTTTAGTCCAACCAATAAGCAGCAATGATACTCCAAACCTCCAAGTCTAGCTCCATTACCTCTAAAAAGTCTAAGTCAAACAAGCCCAAGACTCATACCTCTCAATTTGCAGAAATTTGGAAGCCCGTCAACTAATAGTCCAGTTCCCTCTCAACCATCAACCAGCTCTAAAAAGTCTAAGTCCAACAAGCCCAAGACTCATATAAATTCCCAACCACTCAACTTGCAGGAAGTTGGAAGCCCATCAACTAATAGTCCAGTTCCCTGTCAACCATCAGCCAGCTCTAAAAAGTCTAAGTCCAACAAGCCCAAGATTCATATAAATTCCCAACCCCTCAACTTGCAGAAATTTGGAAGCCCATCAACTAATAGTCCAGTTCCCTCTCAACCATCAACCAGTCAGCCCAAAGTCCCAAAGCCGACCCTCCAGCTCCAAACCCCTTCAGCTCCCAACTTCTCAACCTCTCAGACTCAGACCCTCAGATCTGAAAAAATTTCAAGGGGTACCCCTTGATTTCTGAAATTCTGGCCAGAGCTGAAAAATTTTCTAAGTCCAACAACCTAAGGGTTTTAATTACGAAAACCCGTTAAATTTTCAAGAAAGTGCCATGGCAGAGCGGTAAAAGAGAGAGCTGGCATGCAGAAGGTACGCGGTTCAACCCTGCTCCATGCTACTATTTTATTTATTTTTTAAAATTTATCACTGCTGTAAAGAAAAGTTCTCCTCCCGGGTCCCCGGCTGGGTTTTGAACCGGGGACCCGGCGCCTGGCGGTCAGCGAGCTAGACCGCCAGGCCACTGGCCTCTTCGAAAAAATATTCTCGGAACTTATATTTAAAGGTTAGATTGCGCAATATTAAAAAAAAGAAAAAAAATGGCCCCCTGGCCTCATTTGAATAAATGAATAATAAAAAGCAGAAAACTGAATATTCAGAAGGAAACCACCTCACAGGTCCAAAATTCTGGTTCTCAAATTCAGACATTTATTCAATGTACTTTCCATCATAGCTTGTACACTAGGTCCCTATTTATTTACAAAATATTTAAATGTTAAATATTTAAAAGTTGTTTTTAAAATTCATGTACATGTACATCTATTTAGACACTAATTTACTTCCCTTTACAATAATGTAAATTTGTCGATGCTTAAAATTGTAGTAGCAAGTCCTATATTACAAATTTTCACTAATATTTATTCGGGGGGGGGGGGGGGGGGTGGTCGTCACAAAATTGTTGACTATAATAGGGCAAACTTTTGTTTGAATGTGAAAATGGAGATTTTTAAAGTTGGCAATCTAGATTTCAACCAACGGCCATACTTTGTCAGTGATATTTGCCTACAACATCTTATACTATTTTGGTACCTTCTTGAAATGTTAACCACTTCATAAAGAAAAAAATATGCTAATTCCAATACAGAGTGACGCCTTATTTGATGAATAATTTCAAGTACATGTTTCAACTTAAGTTACATAAATTTTGACTACAAATAACTACAAATGTATGTTACATGATGCCCTCTATATAGCCAGTCTAACATCTAATTACTTGTGTCTATCAGACTTGATTCTATGCAATCTTATTTCATTACACTCAAATTATTTTCATGAACATTTTTATTTGCTAATTCCTTTTTCTTTCCATAAATTTTAGGCCATCTCAAAAAGCAAACATTTAGGGCTCTTGTTTTCCTTAAAAGTACTCGGTGACTTTCAACCCAGAATTAATTTCTTGCCAATGTTTACGCCACTTGTTATTGTGGATCATGCATTGAAAGCAGTCATGAGCAAATTCAGGGGCAATAGAGGGCGCTTCTCATTCAGACTAATTTTTTTTAACCAAAATTGGAGTGCCCAATTAAACAACATTAATTTCACTCATTAATATGTAAACACACATTTCAATTTAAAATCGGAAGTTTAAACTATGTCATTGTGATCTTTAATTATACAGTTGTGAGCGATTCATGATAGAGGGCGCTTTTTATTTACACACTTTTTAATTTTTATCTTAAACAATTTGATTGCAAAATTGAAAGAGCAACATTCTTTAAATTCAGGTGATTTTTAGGAGCAACTGTCAACATTCATTAATGTACAAACAAAAACCTTAATTCACATGTGATATTGCTTCATTTCTCAATTACACTGAGTGACTGAATGGGCTTAATTATCTACAAGATGAATACACAATTTAGTACAGTAATTTGAAAACAAATTACATCACTAAAAAATACATCAATAATCAGAAATACTATTGAAAGCAACTAACTTTAGAAATCAGAACATTTATAGTTTAAGCAAGTATTCGGGCAATTCCATGGTGACAAGACTTTTTGCAGGTTTGGAATTCGCATCAAGAATAAAAAATCAGGTATTCCTAATAATTTACGCATGCTATCACTGCAATTCTCGAACGCGACACAAAAAAGTGACATATATAGGTACTTATTTCAAATTTCCCTATTCTTGCTCCAAATTTCTTCCATTTAAAAAAAATGATAACCCCCTCTCGTTCTAAATGTTATGTTAAAGACAATTTTGGATTGAAATTGGAATTGGACACCGTTAAGAGTTTAAACTTTTCACGGTGTAGTGAATATTGAGCGTTTTGTGACAAGAAATGACGCGATTTCCTCACTATGTAAACTCGGAGGTGCCATGCTGAAACTGAAATTTGAACACGACGTCACATTTGTGTACACTAATTAGCTGTATGCTGTATCATACAAATATACCAATCAGGCATCATTATTTTTCTGAATGCAAAAAGTGTCTACTTTTTTTCAACCTGTTGGCAGCTAATTCTGTTCCAAAAAACAACCAGCATAAGAAATAGTTGGACCTAATTACATGTACACCTGGTGATACAAACACATTGATCTTTTCTGTCCATCACTTACAGAACTCTTTCTTTATTGCGACATTATATAAAAGCAACACAGGAAACAAATGATAGAACAAATAGGAAATTTCTCTTTACGTCATTCCATTTATTCATCGCACATGCCATAGCCAGTATTACAGTGTTTACATATACAGAGATGTAAAATGAAAGTTTTATTAATTGAGAATGTGTATTGAAAACTTTCCGTTCAGGTTCAGGTTTTACTTTCTTTATAATTTCCAACAATCGACTATAAGCAAGAGCAAAATAACTTTTCAATATTCAAACTCAGAGATTTTTTTAGAGTTTAACAAAAAACACAGACATAATGAAAAGCTATATACCACACCCCCCCCCCCAAAAAAAAGAACACGAAGCAGATAAGATAAGAAATTTTGGTAATTGACCCAAATAATATTAAAATTGTCTCCAATAACATCTGTGTACTTAAACTTGCATAACACATTTTTGTTATACTAACAATTTGAGGTCTCAACGTGAAAAACAAATTGTGTGCTCAATTTTTACTACTTTTTCTCATAGTTTATTTCTGCTCACTTATGAAACTCCTTATGTTCTGTTGTTTTTTGTCTATTCCTCTTTCACTTGTTCCTCTTGTGGTCTTCATACAATCCTTTTCTTCCAAGTTTTGTTTCTGCTGTGTGGATCTTTCTCTATGCTGCATGCCGGCTGTACGTTGCAACTTTGGTGCAGATCTTCCCTGAAAAATATAAAATAGTCAACGACATGACATAGTTATTTTATATTTCATCCATGTTTACATTAACAAATTTTAATTGCTATTCGTCCAGCAGTACAAAGGTTGTCCAATGAACGAATAAGACAATAAACTATTAAAACCAGCCAATGTTTAGTACTAGGGAATTATGAATATCAAACTATTTGGTGCCAAGTAATAATTCAGCTCTCACAGGGAAGACTTCCCCACCCCATCAGAATGCAAAATAATATACTTCTTATGCCTAAAAGCCGCAAAAACAAATACATTTTCCCTGATTCTTTTTAAAGGGTTATAGATGTCCACATTTAAGTTTAAAGAGACTTGTTTTGTGAAATATATATAAATGTTGCTCAGATGGTGGCTTTGTTCCATTTGGGTTAAAAATAACTTGTCTGGGAATGGAATAAAATAACATGTGTACTTGTATTTTCTGCAACTACAGACTACACATTAATGTGGCTGACACTTCATTCAATACTAAGAGGTTGTGACTGTATGACATTGCATGTACATGTGGCTGGCATTTACACTACATGTATTTCTAGCTGGCCTAAACAAAATTGTAAAAACAAAACTATTTATTCACTTCTCATCAAAACTCTACGAAGAAAAAATGTATCAGAATAATTCCCTGGCCAGAAAATGTAGGTATTAGAACAAGGATAACAAAATCACTTTTGATGAGTGATACATAAATTTGTATCTCATTTTACAAGCAAAATCTGACTAAAATTGACGATTAAAAAATCAAATCCATTTTCACAAAGACGCCCTCAAAACGGTAACATAAAAAATTGAGGGAAATTACTACTGAAAAAAGTTTGCAAAAGATGTATTCAAAATTCCTTACCATAAGTCATCAGGATGTCACCGCAGACTTTGATGTGATCGTGTAACTTTACAAAATGGTGCGCGAATCGGACGAAACAGTTTCAATTTTAAAAGCGCCAAGTTCTAAAGTGTCACTTCAGCAAAACACGCTTGAACAAATGTCAAATTTATATTTTGGTCTTGTGTCTCCACCAGCATGGAATTGCCCATTTAACCTTTTTTTTCTCATTGAACAGCCTAGTACATTGTAAATAGGCCTAAGGCACCTTGGATGTAGTTTCTCTGATGTTTGAAGTCATCACAAAGTGGTGCAGTATCAGGGCATTCCAGCATCAAGAGCAGCGTCTTCTTGGCAGGAAAGCAGGAAAACCTGAAATTCAAGTTAAAAAAAAACAAATTGAATATAAATAGCATACATGTGTACATGTGCACTTGTTTTTCATAACTTTGCAGGCTTCTGTAGCTTTTGAGGCTCCACTAAGTTGGGAGAACTACATGTATAAAAAGGGAAACGTTTTGCAGATATAGTTTGAAATTAAGCTTCCTTTGCATTCATGTTCACAGCACATATCTGCATGAATTAATTGCCCACGTACAAGTACTGTTCAATGACAGTTTGTAGTGCATCCAGCTTTTGCCAGAAAGCCGGGAGAGAGGTTTCCACCTTGCGCAGATCTTATGTTATCTTGGCCACCTGCGTCTCAAGGCTCTCGTCGCTTCTGTACAACCCGATACGGACGCGGCAGTAGCAATATATCGCTCCTCCTCAGTCAATGCTGGATTACAGCCACCTTGCACTTTGTAGACTGTGGGAAGCGCTAATCGCTTACCCATGCGACACTCCAGGGACATAGTGACGCACTTCATTGGTTTGAAGGTGAGCCGAGGTTTGGTAGCCATGTCCAAAAGCCACTGCAGGTCCTCGCCAGAGGTCATCAGTGTGGACAATGACCAGAATGTCATGCCCGTGCACCACTCTTGACACTGCCTGCATCACAAGTTCTATAGAGTCAAAATGAAAAGTATCAGGGAGATCAGGTAAAAGCATCCCGGATGATGTCTATAGAATCCCTCCAGCACACCGACCTAGGCAATATAACATGGGAGAATGCTGCCGAAAGCATTTCTGTAGATCGAGCCATATGCCACATACATGTACAGATTTTTCTGATTCCAGTGTGCATCCCCCACAATGGATAAGATCAGGAGCGTGTGCTGAAAGCAACCCTCGGGCCTAGCACTCTTATGGGTATTAAACAATGATGAGATAAGAGTCTTGCGCCCAAACGAGTCAGACGGTAAAGGGTTGCCACTAGCAACTTGTACAGGCATGACTGCAGGGCAATTGGCCGGAAGTTGGATGGGCACGCTTGGTCACCCTTCTTGTACAACAGTACCATGGTAGCTGTCTTCCAAGAATTGGGAACCCAACCTTCATGCAGACACCAATTAAATATCGCCACTGTAAACGCACCGTCTGCCAATCCGATGTGACGATCAATAGTCAAGCTGATATTTCTTGGGTGCAGAGTTTGACATCCAACCAAGGCTGGAGGAAACCTCCATCTGCATATATCATGGTTCATAGCAAATCCAAGCCCGACTCCCTGGCATGGGCCGAGTTTAAACAGCAGAGTTTGAGTCTACTGTTACGTACGATCGACCGCCCTTTCCAAGTGATCTAAGTACTTCAACAGGATCAGTGCCAGCATATTTGACCTCAGAGCCATCCAGGACCATGTGCATCACCCATCTCCTACTGGACCTGTTCAGCATTTGAAGCCTGCCAGCCTCCCGCGCATCAAACTCAGGTCAACACCCACAACGTCGCACCACACTCAAGACGTTGCGCCGCACCGCACCACAATTGGATTCCCGCCGAATACCAGTTATCTGTGAGCAATAAACTGGGGCAACCACATGTTGAGCAAAATGGTCACACACTGGTGCATGACAGCGCTACTAGCACCACGTGTTAGGGTCTCGGCAATCCAAGTCACTAGGTGGTGCAGTCCCACTCGGCCTCGACCTGGCCAGAACCTTCACCCGTGATGTCACACATCAGTCACAGGGTTTTGGCTGCATCGATCCCCAACTCATATCATCCTTGTTGTGGAAAACCTGAAGGAGCCCCAACGGATTGTTGGAGTGCCAGAGCAACTCTCATCCAAATTATGGGAACTCTGAAGGGAACCTAAGCATTCGCCCGTAGAGTGTTGGGGAAATGGCCAGACCTCGACCCTGGTCCCAACTGGGAAGTCACTCGTACACAATCTGAAGAGACAGAGAGTAAGGCTGAGGTCACATTCTATAGACTCAATTTTGTTTCACTAACCAAGCCAAGGATGAAGTCCATCAGAGACATGGGCTCTCTGGGAGCGCTGTATCCACGGGCGAGAAAGGGGTGTGTGCATTGTGATGCCGCAGGAGCAACCCGGACATGCAGTCAGTGAAACTGAACCACTGCATTTGCGAGTTTGGTAGAGGTTGGAAACAGGTCAGCCTGAGCACCGGTAGACAAGAATTAAAGAAAATAAGGATGTATATGCAGCTGGTGTTGGGTCAGGGTCTGCGAGTGGTAGCTAGCTCTCCCAATACATGACACAACTGAAGCTGCAAGTGAAGGATAGGAAAAGACCTCACTTTCCGGAGATCTCAGAGACTGCAGATTTGAGATGGAACTACGCTGATGAGTGACGATACAGACTAGCAGATGTACGAAACAACCTCAGGCACAACATGGCCCTCATCAGAGTTACAGTCGCCCCCAAAGAGTTTCCGAGCATTCCTCTACAGAATAAGTCAAAAATACAGATCCATGGTTTTTGCCGAGCAGGCCCCCAGCTTTATGCAATCCACTTCAATACAAAAACTCACGAAATATGTTCTTGTCTCACTCCCTAGAAAACCTTTCTAGGGAGTGAGGCAAGAATATTTCTCTTGAAATAAGATTTATTTCTAGTTTTAAGAATACCATTTTTAGCAGTGTACGTATAGAACTACTCTCTGGTAATTTTGAGCATACTCAACATCACCTACCTAGGCAGAGTCAGCATCCAGGATCTCTAGTGGCTGCCATCAAACATAAGGTTTGTGAACTTGAACTTTGCTCCTCCGTAGCTACTAGCTTCCTCAACGGGATGCGCTAGCGCTCATCGCATGACAGAGTAGTAGAGTAAACTCTCTTGACTGAAACATCCACCCGTGGTGGCAAGAAATTAGAGATGCAGTGCAAGACCAGGAGACTGCTGGTGAAAGATGCTGGTCATCACCTGGCTGTCAGCAATCTCCCTATGGATGCCACAAACAAAGAAAGGAGACAATGCTAATTAAGTAAGAAAACAAATACATGTAGGGATCTATTTTAAATGAACTAACTCTTTCAGTGCCCGCGAAATTTGAAAAGTTTAACCTTAAAGTGCCCAACTTCAAGCTTTTTTGTTGTAATTGTTCAAAATTCTGGAAAAAAAATAGTAAATAAGTTTTATTCACTAAATTTGTTGTTGTTGCTCTGTGGTATATCCTTGGTACATTGGAAAGTCAATAGTAGTCAAATGCATAGTGATACACCCTGAAACACTGTCCTGCACGCAGGGGAATTCCGCACTTTTTGCAGAAAATACGAGTTTTAGTGCTGGGCACTCTCGCAAGAACTTGAATAAAACAATAAATATACAGGTCGTACATGCATGAAAATGGTACCATTAGAAAGAGCGAGAGCGAGAGCCCCCCCCCCCCCCCCCCTTTTTGATAACGTGTTTACTCTACCTCGTACATGTACGAGGTTTGGCGATTTTAATTACGAACATTACCTCGTACATGTACGAGGTTGGCGCTTTCGTACTAACAAATATACCTCGTACACGTACGAGTTTGGCACTGAAAGAGTTAAGGATTGACAAAATTGAATTAAAACTATAATTAATCCTAAGATCATAACAATGCACCGATGCATCGATAATCGCGATTCTGAAATGCCACAATACGGCATCGCGATATTTAATTGTAATCTAGGTTTGGCAAGAGAAATTCATGAAATTGTCAGCAGAATATAGATATACCAAAATACATGTATGTTGATCTTCTTCGTTAAAAATGTACACATGTGAAGCATTTTCAAAGTGATCTGTTGAGAAAATCTAATGCATTACATTCCACTGATCCAGGCAGTCAAACTCATGAATACCCTTGAATGTTATAGTATTGTCATTCTCTGACATATATAGTCTCCACAATCCTTGCGCTATTTAATACTGAACATGCCCAGTGATGGGTAATGGATTTCACCAAAATTGGAAAATGTCAGAGCTAGGCTAAGACCATGCACTGCAATAAATTACATGTACATGTAGCTACATGTACCTTGTTATATCCACTGTCCTTCAAGGTAATGCCTGCCCGTTGATGGAGGGTGAAGTTCACAGATGGGTATCCCTGATCAGCCATCATCAGTTGAATGAAGACAGATGCTTGGACAAATCAACGAAAAATGAATGGAAATTAATGTCTTGACCAATCATTAACAAAACCTACCATGCCTTGAATATTTCAGAGCTTATTACCAGTCGTGCCAGTAGGTACATTTTCAGATGTGAAAACTGTAGAGCCACATATTAAACTAATAGAGCGCTACCTTGTTGAGCGCATGCGTGTTTGTGCACAAACCTACAGAAAACTCAAAATTTAGTACGGATTTAGAACGGCTATTTGCATAATACAAAATGTACATATTTCACAGCTTGTTCTCGAGCCTGTTAATTGGTATGAGCGTGTCATATGCATGTGGTTTTATAATGTTCCACAAACACACCTGTCATACGCTAACCAAAACAAAGCCACTTTCTTTTTCCCATTCTTCAAAAAAAAGTCTTTTCTTTTCTTCCGGTCCAGCATCAGCGTCCTTAACTCAGTTGTGTCTTGTTGTGCTGCGTCCCTCTTCAACTGGTTGACGAAAGATAGTCTCCTCCTGCCCCTGCTCCTAGCTCCATCGACAGGTTCCCACAGTACTATAGCGGGCTCGCAGCTATAGCTCTGGATGACACACACAGTGGCCTGCCAGCCTCCTCCTCGGGTCCCTGACCTTTATAGCAAAAGCTCTGTGCAGGTTGTCGTAGAGCTGGAGCAAAGTCCAGGTCAGTGATCACACACCACTGCTGGCACTCTCCAAATCCTAAGCCTGGCGAGTGTGAAGCCCAGCTCCTTCTCCTAGTACAGTATACTTGTGTAGACTGCAGGTTGTCATAGATAGAGCTGGATATTGGGCACAGGGTCTTCCCACCTGACGTTGAGAACGTGCCATCCGTAGCATTCAGGTGTAGACGCCATCTAGCACTCTCTCGTGCTTGGCTGTCATCATCCACATCTAAAGCTCCAAATAGAAGTACAGACTCAACTGTAGCCATGAACAGACTTCGCCTGATGTTGTTGGTGAGACCAGCACCTGATTTCAAGAAGCGCTGCGACGCGTCGCAACTCAAGTTACGACGTGTAACACGTCGTAACTTGAGTTATCTTCCATTTCACTAAAGTTGCGATGTGTTGAACGCGTCGTAAGTTCCTTGACAACGGCTTAAAACACGTCGCAAGTTACGACGTGTCTAGTGGTCATCGCAAAATAAGAAGAGTCATTTCTAAGCCAGTTTTATGCCACAAACATTACATTAACGAGATTATAATACCGAGGCAATGTGTGTAAAGTTGTAAATAGAAAATTCATTGAATAATTATGAATTAGACCGGAATATTAGAGTTGAAATTTCAAAGTAGCTATACAGTCCAATGAGAGCTTGTTTTCCTTCAAAATTGTATCGCACGGCCGCCATTTTGTTATACGTTTTAACAAATTTCGAGCCGAGATCCGACGACTCTTTGTTGAATATCAGACGACTATTTACTGTACGCTGACTAAAGACATAAACCAGTCACCGAGTTGTGCTATAAATACACCTACGACGCGTCGCACTTACGACGTGTTTAGTGAAATGGATCGCAGGACGCGTCGCAGCTGCGATGCATCGTAAGTTACGAAGAGTTTAATGAAATCGGGTGCTGCTCTCCACTCGCTTCATGCTGTGAAGGGCCGTCCACGCTGAAGCTCTCCTCGCTCTCATCACGCTCTCCTACGAGGGGCACCGAGGTATTAGAACTTCTCAACGACCTCTAGAGGAGCGCCATCTCAGGACTTGCCGATACTGTCCTCTGAGTTGAACGCCATCACCTTGTTCTTCTTTGAGTTAAGCTTTAGCCCTACTCAGAAGCACTGGAGCTCCACAGCTGCAAGCAATGCTCATGCTTGGTCCGCCGTGTCGGAGAGGAGACTTGTCGTCAGCTGGCACTCTCCAACTCTTTATGCCTGGGGAACGTGAAGCCAACCAGCCCCTTCTCCTAATACAATATAGACCGCTAACCAGGTCACGATATTATTAAAGTTTACATCAACACAAAGAGAAAAATACTATCGAAGCAGTAAAAGCGCACTGCGGGCAAGTGCGGTGTCTGGAAATGCAGAAACCCAAATAGATGTATTTGGACCTATATGTACTTGTGTGGGATCAAAACAAATTGCAGTTGGTGGCCAACAATGTCAGATTGAATAAAATATTCATCCAGCACCTTACAAATGTGTGCCATATCTGGACAAATAGCCAAAAAGGAAGACGTGGGCAAGTGTAGTAGGACTGTGCCAGTGACGTCGTACACTGCAGTCAGAAAGAATTATAATGTGTTGTTCGCGGTCTAAGGACTTTTATTAGGGACAGCAGGACTTGTTCGGGGCAACACATAGGAAAAATGGGCACAAGACTAGGAAATCAAAGCAATAAGCCGACAAGGACAAAGATTTTTAATTCCTCCAATCATTCTTTTCATATTTATTTCGTTTTATTATAACTACAATTCACTCGATCACTGTCTCATACATACATGTATACAAATCAATCGGAGTACATAAGTCGCTGCAGGCTTCCCCTCTATATCAGAGCCAACTGCTGGACTGCCACAGGATGTTGCCGCAGAAATCTATAGTACTGAGGACCCTGTTCTAGGTAACTTGGACCCTTCAAAATCGCTTGTTTAACATTTGGGAATGATCTGGTGATGGTAGGGTTCGACTATAAGGGAGCCCATGCACAACAGTTGTGTCCATGTATTTGCTAAAAAAATTTCATTTTCCAATCTTTGTCCAAAAAAAACTCATCCAATTTCACACTTCAAACAGCCACAATGGTTTCAGTAGGCCCTCTGTTGGAGACACTGTAAGTAGCAATTGAAGATTGCGATTGAGGTCTAAATTTACTTAACATCTGAATAATAAAAAGTGAAATTTTCAGTTGAATTCCCCGAACTCGCCAAAGAACACAACTTCTGCGCCAAGTTAATTCTGAACGCCAGTTTTGTTTTATTTGGAACTTCAATAATTGATGTAAATTTCAATATTTTTGCCAATTTACAGTGCAATTTTGGGTAACAGTTTACAAAATCCCCAACTTTGGGCACACATCTTTCTTTGGATAACACTTGTTAAAATCCTCAACTTTAAAGTTGTTTAAAAACAAGTCCTCTAGGCAACTCTGCCTAAAAGTTCTCTGCAACGTTATGAAAAGGAATCACTCAAAATTGACATTTCTTTTTTTATTAAATCTTGCAACTTCTATTAGATAAATCCATGGTTTACAAACAACTGACTTAGTTTTCTTTTCTTTCTCCTTGAAAGACAAAAAGATTGCCGATTGCTGATTGATATAATAATATCAGGCTTCAATTTTAATATGAATAAAAATACGTGAATGACATCATGATGGGGGCAGCCACATGTATACGTCTGTTATGAAACTCCTGGATGAGTCAAAGGCCACCTTGCCCTGGGTGTCTAAAACCTCCTTGATGGTGCTCTCACTTATCGTGAGCTCTTCCTTGAGTCTGTCGATCTGGACGCCAGCATTCTTCAACACCAGGGTCAGCCAAGGGGCTGGCCGGGCATCACGGTCTCACGTCATGTCGGGGTTGGGGAGTACGTGCAAATCTCTTACAATTCTCCGCTCCACACTCCCAGGCTCAAGGCTCACCATATCACAGTCTTGCCTGGCATTCTTGGGACCTCAGGCTCCTGGCATCTGGTAACCGGTGGTTGGCTAACCGTCGGCATCTGGGTCATGCTGTGTGCGGACTGCCCGGGCCGGTCCAGTGCAGGTCGTGTTTACACACGAATGGGAACGGTACGAACATTTCATCTTCTCTCTGGTCCGATGCTACTCGTCAATGTAGCGTCTCAGACATGAGTGTGATATGCAAACTCCTTCCTGCATTCTGCACATTGGTTGTGTCTGGTTGGATTCCTCCCTGAAACTAATTGCAACTGTCTGTCTATCAGAAAAACATCTTAAACTCTTTGATTTTATTCTTTGATCTGAATCGATCCTGGTGCATTACGTGCTCTAACACCGGTTGTTTCACCGGAAGGAGCAATATGGGCGGAATGACCTAACCGGTTGACCCAACTGATTGGCTCCGGGTGGAAGCTAGGAATTCATCAGGCGGACTGACTCCCGGTGTACTGACTCCGGGCAGACTGACACTGGGCAGACTAACTCTGGGCGGAACGACTCCGGCAAGTATACCCGTACAGCAATACTCTGACACACACACCACTGTCGTGATTCGCTGCCAAGTACCCCGTCGCTGAACGCACCGTCTCAATTAATGCTGTACTTCGCTGAAAGTACCCCGTCATTGAAGGCACCATGCTCGGTTAGCTCCACTGCAGTACTTCGTGCAAACTCCCTCACTGGCTCGATCTAAAAATCCCAGATGAAGTTGAATACGTACACCGCTCCCGCCGTAGTCCGAGTATCACCCGTTATCCACAGAGCCATCTCCTGTCTAACGTCTGATATGTCAAAGCATGCAGATTTATGCAAGCCGCACGCCAGCCAATCGGAGTCAACTTTACTAAATCGTGACGTCATTTCATCCCAAAATCAGGACTAACAATGTGATTTGGTCAATTCGAATGCAGCGTTTTGTAATACAACAACAGCCGGCCGGCTAGGAGTGCATTTGTGTAACATGATACTGAGTGCCACAATTGGTCAATTCGAATGCAGCAGTAATCCAACAACAGCCAGGAGCGCATTCGCGTAACATGATACCGAGCGCTGCGCGCCGTGACATTTTTTTTTAAAAATCCATGTCTATGCTGCGCAACGGGTGAATGACTGAAGATCCGGTAGACCTTTAGAAAGCATCTGCTGATTGGTCAAAATCTAGGAAGTCAAGAGGCAGGGTCTTGCCTAATTAATCAGCAAATCTGTTCGCGCATAATAGCGGCATTCGCCGTGGTCTATTACATAGAATTCTCCCGCCATCCTAACATGTAGTTCACCATTTTGCTACGGACAGTAAGACACGGGGAAAATAGGACAAGACTATATAGGGCAACAAAGAAATAAACTGACAAAAACACAGATTTTGAAATCCTCCAATTATTCTTTTTACCCTTATGTCTGTTTGATTACATTATAACTTGCATATTTCACTTTAATAACTGTCAGCCACAGGGGAAGGTAATCAATTAAACTTCATAACAAGTGCAAATCAAATGTACTAGCTAGTGCAATAATTCATTTTCAAATAATTTGATTAATCAACTCAAACATGTAGCATATTCAAATACATGTATATGTATACGACATGTGGGGATCAAGTCTAGATGGATCTGGTCTAGATCCAGCTAGTCTAAAACTGGCTGGATTCGCTATTCCCTGCAATAATCAATAGTGACAATTATAGGAGCTTATAAAAAAAATCACATTACATCGTCAATCTATCTTTGTCAGGGTAGTGGAAATTATAAGGTTGACATTTTGCCAGATTTGACAGAACTTTCAGCTATAGCCTTTTTCTCACATGTATATGTATGTGTAAAGCTGAACTGCTAAACCGAACCAAAAATGGCCGAATATGGCCTTCCGACGGAAGAGTTCGGCAAGTATTTGTTGACAGCGCTAGGAATGTTAATGGTTGCAATGAAAGGGCAAATGTATCGTGCACGGGACGGATGAGTACGGATTATTTGGTGCCGGGCTAGCTCCACCATTGTCCGTCTTTGGCTGATGTGCATATTATACAAATATTGAATGCTTCGAGTGGTGTAGTAAAACTAGCCTCCCGAGGTGATCCATGGATATTCTATTTTAGAATACAATGCTCCATGGATCACCGAGGGAGGCTAGTTTCAATTCACCACGAGATAAAGCATTCAATATTTGTTTTATAATACTTCACCCCCAGATTCTGCTTGGTTTTAATATTTTAAATCCGAACAGTTGAAATAAACTTCAATTTCAATACAAAATTGGTGGAAAATGTATTTACCTCTTCCAAACTACCCCTTCGGCCTTTGCAAAATGTTTGAACCCAACTCTGTGGCGCGCTCTCTTTGGAACAAAGCGCGCTACGCGCAACGCGCACACCAGCATGCATTTGCACACAAACACTGCGCTGTGGAAATAGTGCTTTGGTTGCTAATGGATATAGTACTTTGGTTGCTACGGGTATAGTATTTTTGGCCGTGCACAGAAAGATAGCAAAAATAGAAAGTATCATGTGACTTGCTCTCGGCCAATCAAGACACAGAATCTGTGGGTGAGGTGTTATAAAATGTGATACGGTACCCGATAGCTCAACCACGAGCACTATGTACTCAGTAGTATTGCGAGGTTCTGGCGGTTCCCTGGTTCTAACCGGTTTTAATATGAGAACCGAAACCGCGGATTACTGGTTCAAGAACCCCGGTTACCAGCCATGCATGCTGGGTTCCAGGGTTGACGTCCCGACAGTCCGAAGATACCGGTACTCTACTCTGAAGGGTTATTATATTGTCCGGCGCGATCTGGCAAACACATGCTTTTAATTATAATCTTTTGCTTCACATGTATATTCAGTGGATGATTGGTATATTGGAATACATTTGGCACAGCCTTACATACACTAACCTTATGAAGCAAACCAGACAGCACCCGCTCCTGGATCAGGTTTGGTAACATGAAGTAGTTGCATGGTGGCTGTAGGATTCCAGACCACTCCGTCCTGCAAAATGTATGGGCAGCGGCTGTCGTCCTTCCCACATCACTCATGGTAAAGTAATAGATGCCAGACATCCACTCGGCTCATATGCAATACACTGTGTCTGTAGCAAATAACCAGGGAAAAGCCATGTGATACGCAATGATATACATTAGATACATGAAATCAACATGTTTTGTCCAAAGCATGGAAGGTTAACTAGAATACATTAAAGCTACAGTCCATCCCTTGCAGCTATATCCAAAAGGTAAATGACATAATTTTTGTTTAAAGACATAAAGATAGTAAGGATTAACTCCCTCTGTGCTGTCATTTTGAAGAAATCAACAAAAAAAAAGGTTTTCCAACGATGCGTCTTAATTAAGACGCACCGTTGGAAATTTGGTATTTTTATTCGGCGAAGCGCGCACAAGCATTGACACGACGCACACACTCGCGTTCGTGGTTGCTATAATTCGCCGTATCAGTGCGCCACATCGCATTGCGCTGCAATCGGCTCAGTGAAAACATGTCTCGGACGCTGAATTCAGGCCCAATTCAAAACATGATTCAGCAATATTTGATTTGAAATCGAGATCCTAGATTACAGTTTTTCTCGAAATATACAGCTGAAGCTGAGCTGACACTTCATCAGATTATATAGCTGTTGGCAGCACCCTTCTTCAGATTTTTAGCACTTTTGTTGCTTCAAACGAACAAAATGCACCAATAACAAACGATGGACTAAACCTTTAAGCAATGCATGCTTATATATTTAACTAAAAAGAAACAGTCGTTACAGCATTCTCAACTGCTACCGTTTATTACGGCACTGCAAATTAAAACTTACAAATCAAAATATTTGAACTAGAGCAGTTTTGCAGTACGCAGCTCAATTAATTCCGCATTTTTTGGCCAGTCTGCAAGTCTTTGCATAGCCCATTCTTTGTACATGTTGTATAGCTAGCCCAGCCTGTGTGGCCTAGCTATTGCTGCACTGTACAAAAGTACAGTACACAGTGCAGCAATATGGACACAGCTAGCTCTGGACTCCATCACGTGTCCGGTTTGAGAAGCTTCCACTTACATTCCCGAATGTAATGAGCACTTAATTATGTGCTCGGTAGGCTTACTTTCACAAAATTGTATTCCTTGAAACTCCCAGTGGCACAGATCTGCCATATTCCAAAGAAATTTGGGTGCAAAGGAGTCCAAACGAACGTGTAGAAAATCTGGTTTGACTTCATCTTGGATCTATGCACCCAGCGCATTACATGTATATGCATTCTCCAGAACGTTGTTTCCACAAGTTAGTTGACGACTGTTTCATGTCGCAACAAATGTTATGTACATATTGAGGAATGTACTAGGTCTCAACGTTGCAAGCAATATACTGGCTATATAGACACGTTATCGCGAAGCACAAAAAAATCATTGATTAATATAGTACAAATAATGTGAAACCCCCCCCCCCCCCCCCTGCTCTGACACGAAAAAAAGTTGACAATTATGCTGATTTTATTTACGTGTATGTCCGCAAGAGGCTTAGCCAGCCCTGGTAATTAAAGTGGGTATTTTTTTTACTATTATGTGATATGAGCCTTATTCAGGAGTTGGCCATTTTTGTCGAGTTTCCTGAAATGTATTTCATTTATTGTTAATTGTTGCATGGGATGGCGCCAGACTATTTATGCAGGCACAATGCAGCTGTATTTTACTGTCATTTATTTTTTTAAACATGGCTTTAAACATTAGGGAATGTTTAATTACACATTTTAAATAATGCATATGCATATGGAATTTATTATAAATGAAGTTGTTTTCATTTCTCTTCGCAAGTTCAAAAAATTAAGATTTTAGGCGAAGTAAAAAACAACAACATGTTTCTCGTCCCCGCCCACTTCCTTTTTGGAGGCCGCCTGGATTTTTTTATTATTTTTTTATTTTTGAAAAATGCAGTAAAAAAAACACTGAAAAAGTCCACAAATTCATCGGAAAATAAATTGTAGACCAATACAATTAGTCTAAATGATATATGTTCAGTTTTCTTGTCCAACTTATCTTTCATTTTAAAAGTGTCTTTTGAACAGTGGAAACACCAATAATTGCAGGAAATTGTTAATTGGCGGCCATCTTGAAACAAATAAAAAAAAAAAAATAAAAATCCCCGCTTCCTCCTTTTTTTCAAATAATCCGGACGAGAAACGTGTTTTTTTTTTTAAATTCGGCCTTACCTAATAGCTTTGAGACAAAAGTAGGCATATATATAAGTGTATATTTTCTTAGTAAAAGCATGGTAAAAGATTCAATATTTCCCCTGAAATTTGACTTTTTAGAACTTACAGCTAATTAGTATGATAGCTGATAATGAAGGGTCTGATCCCTGCAGGGAATTGTATTAAATGGAGTAATTGCAGAATACCCCCGCCACTCGGAAATACACCCCTAAAATCACTGGCTACGAGGTTGGAATCACTGCAAAAGAAACAATTCAAGTCCATTGCCAGCTACGCGGATACTGAGTGGGGGTCCATTATTTGAGAACGAAGCAACACAAAATGAATGGGAGTTGCTGAAAAAATTCTAAGTCCAAACCAACTACCCTGTTGGCGGCTACGAGGCTACGGAGTGGGAGTCCCCTTGAATATGCTTGAGAACGAAGCAACAGTAGCCCTGAGAATGTTTATTGAGGTCAATCAGCCGTGACCTCGAAGCCGGCTACGAGGTGGATAGATCGAGCGGCGGGGTATTCTGCAATTGTGCCTACAACTCTGACCATGTATCACTGAGGGGCGGATCCAGGATTTTATGCAGGGAGGGGGGCAGTGAATGTACACAGGTTTTTTTCTCTAGACACTTTGCCTCCATAAGAGGAATGTGGGGGGGGGGGGGGGGGCTCGTACCATACTTTAAATTTGGCGCTGTTCAAATATGACAATCGTGCACACTATGGGCATTATTGAATGAGCCTTCTTATTGTCGGCCATATTGAACTGAAAGACTAAGTGGTGCCCCCATTAGCTCTATGGAGCAAAGGAACACAAACTATCACCCAGTCCCCCCCCCCCCCCCCCCCCCCCCCCCCCCCCCCCCCGAATAAAAGTGCACAACATCTTCCACTTCTCAGTACATGTATTCCTAAAAATCCTATCCTCTCCCCGCGGCCCCACGAACGGGGCAACTATATCCTTCCTCCAAATTATCACGTTGGACTTACCAATAAGTGCCTGTCTGTACGTATGATAGTACAGTGAGCAAGGCCATATCCTCAACACACGGTCGCGTCCTTTCCACACTAACGCCATACAGGACTCCTTTGGCATGATTCCCAATTTTCAGGAGGCAAAATAACGGTATTCTCAGGCTTTTGGTGACAAAAATTAGGGTCCAAAATCATTCTTTGATTGTTCGAAAACTGCATGAAATAGTTTGTACACAAGGATGCTCGAGTTAAAAAGAGAAATTTCCTGGCTGAAAAATGATTCGGATCACCCACGAACGAAACCACAAACGGAGACAAGGTCGGAAGGCGCATGCGCGCAGCGTTTGAAAATGAGGCCAAAGCACGTGGCCAGTGGGCGCCGTCGCGAATGTGCGTTGTTCACAATTTGTACTGCAAGTACCAACTATGTTCCGGAGCAACTATAATCTTCATTTTTATTTAAATTTAAAATAAACGGTCAAGCTCATTCCATTTTCAATATCATTTTCATGAGGGGGCATATTGTGGGGCCTAGACAACAATTAAGACTTCGTTAATTCATGGAAGGGGGTAACGGGGGGGGGGGGAGCACAGATTTGAACAGCAGACTGTAACATAGTTTACAAGTTCCATGTTTTGTGTTCATTAGGGCGAGGACATTTGCTTAAAAAAGGGCTGTTTGATTTTTCATACAAAGTACAAACTTGTAGTACATTCATCCCCACTGAAAGTTGCAATTTAAAATGCACTGCGCCCCTACAATAAAATGCTATCTAGCCCCGCCCCCTCCGCATACGGAACAACTGGCCTGTTGGTTACCCTCCCCCCCCCCCCCCCCCCGCCCCCCCCCCAAAAAAAAACCCCAAACAAATACTTTTGGATCCGTCAGTGATTTATAGCTGCCTAATCATATATTTTTATTGCAAGATGTAAATTTGTGATTGTGTTGACATAATTATTTTCCAAGGAATTTCTTTTGATATCCTCATTATGAATCCTGCATGCCTGTTGATTACAAAACCCATGACCCAGCTGTAGAATTCAGAGGCGGGAGATTGGTCCATCACCGAGGGTGGAATGGAGGCATAACACAACAATCATCTAACCTCAAAGATTTCTCATTGATTGACTCAATTCATTGCATGCAATGATTTATTACACCATAATAATCATACAACGTTTACACAATGTAAAATAACAATCCCTGAAGTCTTAAGTTTTGCAATAGAAAAAAATATTGAATATTTTGGGATGAAGGCAAACTATGATATCCCATATCCCTTTAAAGCAATTAATTAGTACAACAAAGGTCATTTAAAACTACAATCAGTTACATTTCCAATATGAATATATCAAGACGCTGAATCAAAGTATACTTTTTCTCTGCTGCAGAACTACTTTTCTCAAATTGAGTGGTTGATTTTTGGGCATGATATATAAACGACTGTTATACCCCTGGGCATATATCAAAACTATTACATTGCACGTCAGTTTTTGTACAGAAAATATATCATACTTGGAACAAACAGATCTAGTGTCAATCAATAGTTTGAAGAGGCTTACAAGATTGAAACAAGCCTGACTTGCATTTCAACATGATCAGAAAACACACAAACATTTTTGTGTATTCAACAATTGCAATGGTTGGTCCTGAATGAGCAAACATGACTGTCCTCTGACAAAAATGCGTCATTTGCCAAAGCAACATTATTCATGTAGGCACATAATATATGTCCACATGTTATTATATTACATAACATATTATTACACAGGAATATTATTATACATGATATATAATTATACACAATATACACATGAATTGTTTTACAGAACTAAAGGGATGCCATGCTTCGCGCGTCACCCACCAGCTGTGTGGAGTTGTAGCACCTGCTAGCTGCAGGAGTTGTACGAATTTTGTTTGGTTTGGAACATTTAATATAGCTCTATGGTTTGAAAGCACTTCCAAGTTTTCTATGCAACCTTGAAAAATTAGTCTTTTTCCAAAAACCTGAAAGCTGAGAGTTTTTTCCTTTTTAATACTGGGGGAAAAATCATGGAAATACCTCAGATACTAGGGTTGCTGACATAATGGTACTGTGCATGGGCCTTGCGAGGGCCGACTCTCGAAAAAATGATAAATTTAGAATCATGCTGGAAAAGTACAGGAATTTTGGGGGAAAATGTGCTGTACGTAGGACAAAAATCTGTGCAATACATACATGTACTGTGGCCAAACAGTGGATTAGAGCATGGATATTTCTCCATGATTAGAGCATAGAGCAAGGAACATATATGCTCTATAGTTAACGACATTGACACGTCTGTGCAATGTCGAGTTGCTCCAGTAGAACGCCTAGGTATTATGCTGAGTCCATTGCCTTTAAGTAGGTCACCAAGAAATATATTGAGTGTGTTGGTTGTGCCTAAGAAATTGACATGCATATGCATGTAATCCCTATCACTTCACAGCATTGTTATACATGTAATGTTAAATGATGAGAGTTCACTTCAGCAATTGATATGCCGTCTCTGCGACATGGGCCCTTGCATTTCTGTAATGCACAGATTTCTGACAGTGTAGGATCTTTTTATACAGAATAAACACTAGTTTACATGTAGTAACTCTCATATCGGACATCAGCCTATAGTTGATAGTAAACGAAATCCACGTTATACTATCCTCACACAGCTGGACCACTTTAAAGACATATTACATGAACAGTCAAGGTTAAAGGTTTATACAAAAGTTAGCAAATTGGAATCATGTTTGCCATTTCAATAAATGATTTATATTAATTTACACAACTGATTTGACAATAAATGAAGCACAAATGCCCAAAAGAAACGTCTGTAAGGGCACGTGAAACTGTCAGGATTTTTCTAATTTGTACAAAGCTGAGACAAATGCTCTCCTGGCAAAACCCATTTTTTTTTTTTTAGGCTTTACATTTGTGTAGTGCTTCTATAATACCCGGGGTTCGGGGTATTTTACTGAATACAAGTACAACTGTACAATGTACTAAATTTTGCACAGCACTGGTCTATGGAAGGGAGTTGTGCAGCCATTTTTGCGTGTGGCCACATTAATTTGTTTGAATACCATATTACTACATTGATCGGATAACAGGGTAGGAGGAGGCCTATGTCACAAAAGTTGAAGACATCTCACACAATTTTCACCTAAGATAATGTGATTCAAGATATTTTCTTAACAGAAATGGAACGGGAGGTGGATTCTAGTGTTATAATCCATTGGTGCACTGAAAGAACTGATATTGGCAAGAGGTCACCCAAAATACTGATGGGAAGTGTGGATGAGACACCATGTGCTTTGGATAACAGTTGTTAAGTGGAGCGTGAGAATGAATTAAAACAGCTGCTTGCGTTGATTGTTATGATTTGGTATATATTTTATAGACGATCCCTCAAGGTCAAGAAAGAAGTCCTACATAGAAAAACAAAGTTATCAAAGTTGAGGTGGAGGATGCCTAAGGTGACTCTGTCCACTGGATGGCTCCAAAATCAACAGGAGGGTTGGACCATGAAGTTGACTTTCACGTTCCCTTTCCTTTCTCAATTGTCGCTTAGCGGCTGCCTAATGAGCTAGACCGCCATGGTCCAGGGGCAGGGGTGGATCCAGAAATTTTTGCAGGGGGGTTAGGTCTGTCAGGTCTCTGGCTTCTGTCGCTCATGTGCGTTGTCAGGTGATGGTTGTAATAGAACCTGTGTCTTCCGAGTATTAAGTGTGAGGCCTAGCACAATATAGGCGTGGCTGAAGGCATCATGGCTGCTTTTTGTCTTTCTCTGTTAAGGCCACTATGGCATTGTCATCGGCATGTTGGAACTCAAGTACGTTATGTGAGTGATCAACGTCTTAGCCCTCATTCGCCGTAGGTTGGGGTTGGGGTGGGTTGGGGGGGGGGGGGGGGGCTGGTACCATACATGTACTTCCAATAGGGGGCGCTGTTCAAACCCGACGATCATTAACATAAAAGTGTCCAAATAGGGAACAGGGTCATAGGGAACAGGGTGATAATTATGATTTGGTGGGAGATTAATAGGCTTTGAATTCTCCCTCTTCTGTTTGCTGCAGGCGAGGGAGGTTTTCACTGACGACTTGTCTGATGAGCTCTGGATCAAGGCCAATGCTACGAAGTGACAAGTGACTTATCTCAGGGAGACCTCGGAGATGATGGCTGAGAGCCCTTACTGCATCCAAACTGAATGCATTGTCATCAAGGGTAAGCCCTTTTAAACCATGCCCAGCAGGAAGAATGCTCATCAGGTCCTTCACGTCATCATCGACCAACCTGCATCCCTTGAGGAAAAAGATTATAAGGGATGACGAGATGTGGCTCATGACATCTCTCACCCGTGCATGCAAGTTGGTGTAATACAGTGAGAGATAACTCAACCTGCATCCTTGCAGTGCCTTCAATAGATTGACATCCTCCGGTGATCGTGCGGGCATAGCCAAACCAAGCCAACCTATTTGTTTCTGTATTTGGAAAAAGCTGTGTGATACACGCCCCACGTCAAACCATGACTTCAGCCCAATGAAAACTATAATGTGTAATCGAGCACTGTGCTGTTCATCCACCACACCAAGTGTTTCCTGAAGGAGACTAAGCTCCTCCTCCTCCTGCTCAGACAAGTGGTAGTTAACATTTACCAGCTTAGCTGACTCCATGCTGTCACTCAGAAAAATTCCCCTTAAAAGGGCAAGCTCCTGCTTTCTTACAGTCATGTAAAAATCTGTACCTTCCAGTGGCGGAGTGACATGCTGTAAGTAGTAGCTCAGTGATTTCAGGTCTTCGTTACTCTTGCACTTCACCCAAGTTGGTCTGACAAGTTTGGTAGCCAACTCTGCAGAACCAGACTCAAACAAGAACAACTGAGCCAGTCTCTGTGGTTTGCTCTTGTCACCTTGCATCTCTCGTATGTGATCCAGAATGAGACCAGCAGCCTGCACTGATTTACCACAACAAAATCTCAGCAGGTATTCCATCGCAAGAACATTGTGTTCTCCAATCCGCTCCAACTGATGTTGGAAAATCTTTGCATCATCTAGTAGTAGTTTCACCAGATGACATGCTGCGAAGTATTCTTGAATGGACTTGTGAAGGAAAGTGACCAACACCTTCACATCCAGACCAATCGTGAATGTTTCACGTTGAACAAAACCCACACGACAACCCTCAGTTAAGCAAGACTGACAATTCTGAAATTCAGTTTCATCAAACATGAGTCTTTCCCCTCTTGAGTCTAGTAACCCTTGCAATGCAACACGCCCCAAGCCATCAATGATGAGCATCATGATGGTCATCATGTGCTGATCACCCATATCTTCACTGCGGCGGATGAAAAGAACCTCCGCAAACTTCGCAAACAGCTCCGTAATTCTCTCAGGCAATGACTTTTGATTCTTCCAAACAAGGCACAGCATCTGGGAAATGATTGGAACTGTTGATATCTCCGACAGATTTGTACTGGCTTCCAGATATGAAATCAATGTAGCGCCCAAGTCATCAGGAAGGTTTAATCTAATGTACTGATCTCTGTCTTGCGGGGTGAAACCAAATGTCTCAACCTCGGCGTACTTCGGGTGACCCCTAAGTATGTACTGTTTCATGTGTGGTCGTGTAGTGACCAAGACAAAACTTTTTGTAAGGACTCTGTTGTGTAAGATATCCTGAACCCTGTACACGCCCTCCTCAGATTCCAAAACATGAGACGGAATTTCATCTAATCCATCTAACAGCAAAGCAATGCCTGATTCATGATTATCAATGAACCCTTTCACTATGTGTTTTGTCAGTTTGGTGTCTTGAGCAAGAATCTGGTCAAATATGGCATCCAACACACAGCTAGACTGCTGCATTTGCCTAAGCTTTATCCAAAGCACAAGATCGAATCTACTAAGAAGGGATTTTGAACCAAGTGTGATGCAGGAGTTTGCAACTTTTACTAACAGGGTTGATTTACCCGTCCCAGCCCCGCCGGAAAGAAGAATCTTGATTTCCTTAACTACTTCTGGATTGAACAAATCGTCCAAGGAATTCAGCCTAAAAGTTTCTGTGATATCTAACAATCTTTCTCCTTCTATCAAAGTCACAAACCTCTCTGATTTTGTTTTGCCTGGAATGTTCTTTCTGAGATTCAGAGGAATAAAGAATTCATTAATACCCACATTACGTGACTGCAGCGTAGGGTGTGCAGGAATGGTCGTTGCAGTTTCCTTGTAGCTATCGATAATTTGCTGCTGCAAATACGTAAAGGTATACGGCCCCTGGAGTCCGGTGATTTCTAAAAGAAATCATACAATCATAATGGGTAACTTACTAGAAACACTTGAAACTGATTCATTACAATTCGTCACCAACACCACAAAGTAACACCCATCTACATACCAGTAAAAACTAGCAATCGGAGAAAACGGCAACTAAAGTTGAACGCCTTCTAAAACAACACTTTGCGTCAAAACGCCAGAGTATTTTCAGTTGGGTTTCTCGTTGTGGACACTTGATGAATTGAATTTATTAAATCTGTTGTTTTTCACCCGTTTGTGTATTACATGTAAGTAAACAAGAAATAAGAGAAAAAAGATGAGTGTTAGTTTGTGAAACCGAAAAAGCTGCGAAACTGTAAATTTTCGTTTTCACGAAGTAACACTCTTCAATGTATACAACACGAGGAAAGCGCAACTTCAGGTCAGCGCACGCGTGCTCATACAACTTATTACAAGAAGAGTGTTACTTCTTGAAAACGTTTTTGCTCACTTATGAGCAGAGTGCGCGCCATGCATTGCAATGGTAAATGGAACTTGAGTTTTACTTCGTGAAAACGAAAATTGTCACTTTTGCACAAAAGTTGCCATGGATACTTATCGTAATTCTTAAAGTAAAGCTCTTGAAGCTTTCAAACTTCATGCAATGGTAGGCCTTGATGAATAATGTTTAAAAATAAAAAAAAACTGAAAATCGAAAAAAATATGGTTTAACATGGTAGAGTGTTACTTCGTGGTGTCGGTGACAAATTATTCTTTCGAGCTACAATTCAACAAAGCCGAACAATCTGCTGCTCTACATTTCCAAGTCCTCGCATTACCTATTATTGTTAAGTGCATTCAGGTTTTGTTTTTGTTCTTTTTGCCTTCATCAACATAAGTCTTGAAGTTGTTTTTCTTTCCCGTTAAGCAGGGGAAAATGTACACTTAGAAATTTTACCTAGTATTCAAATTTACACGTCCATTTTTTTTTATTTGATGTACCCAAGACCCCATATAAACCATGAGGTGTATGAGGTTAATGATTACCCACGAATAGCCAGTCCCTTACGCTTTTCAAACAAACATATCTGTGATGAAATCAACGTGGAAATTTGATCACGCCATAAACTTGACGTCGAATCAAACTTTCGACAATTGCATGTTTTTTGGAGGCCATTTGTATTCCGTTATTGTTAGAAGAATTGGCTTCTTATGAGGGTGTGACTTTTATTTACCCAACACCCATAGAACCTAACACTTATTTATTTCCAAATGCGCATTCATAGACATATTCATCAGATCATGGGGTAATAATAATAATAATTACCGGGAATGGGTCATTTGGGAGACATTCCCATAGACTTGTGCACAAATTGTTCAAACTTAAATGTGCCCTAACCCAATATTCCCTTTCCTTTTTCCACGAATTTCGGTATTTTTACTAATTAGACCACGAGCAACAAATATACCTGATTGAGACAGTAAAATTTTGCCTCTTAAGGGGGCTGTGGAATTAGGGAGACATGAAAATGTCTCTCTAATGACAGTGTCTGCCTATTGTCCAGAAATTACGGTAAGTGTCTCCCTAATGGTACATTTGTGCTAATAACAATACTGGAGACTTATATAGCACACGTATCTGCCAACAATTATGTACTCAAGGAGCAGGAAATTATGTTTATTGTGTAAGAAGGTAAATGAAGTTTATGAGAAACATGAGACCCATTATGTAGCACCTTTATAAGGGTTTACAAGGTGCTGCGGCACATATCGCAGCCACTGCAAGAAACACCAGGGCAAACCCCTTCTCTTAGCGATAAGTGTTACTGGGTTCTTTAACGTGCATTTTGCAACACACGGGACCTATGGCTTTACGTCCCATCCAAAGGACGAAGCAATAATGGTAAAGTGCCTTGCTCAAGGGCACACGGACCATGTTCCCCATCAGGATTTGAACCCGTGCACGACACACGAGACGAACACTGTAATCACTGGACCACAGCCACCCACAAAAAACTTGATTCTCAAGTAAAAACTAAATCAGTTGCTTAAGAAATGAGTTAATACGCGTATCTTTCCGAGTATGGTAATTTAATTGATTTTAACGCGATTGTGTTTTTTTTCCGTTCAAACTTACTTCGGACCGACATTTGGTCAATAATAAAGGAGTTGCGAGCCTTAAACAGACAGTAACTTATGTTAACAGAAGTATTTCATGTGATTGTTGGTATACCATTGTAAATTAAGCACAACAAAAGTAATTCAGTACGTTAAGCACACCTAAATATATTAACAGTCAGAAAAATAGTTGTTTTGCTTCGTCAATCGCTCATGCTCCTAATGTCATGAAAATAACAATTGATTTAGTTTATTTTAATACCTACCTATCAATCCTTCGATAATGTCCATTCTACCGATCTCAATCAGAGCTGTGCATAACACTTTACTCTGATCCGTGCCAGTGGATTGTTGGCGCCTCCATTTGTCCAGCATCTTGAAGATCTGTTTTTTTCTTGTGGGAGATCTTTGCAGCGCTTACACCCAGATGTGTAGCAAGCTTCCGCGAATCGGAGCCAAGCATCTCAGAGATCTTGTGTAGAACGGAGTCACTGATACCTGCGACAATCGAGAAAATTTCTGTGAAAAGCTCTTTATACCAGATTAAAAGTCAATGATGAAAGCATTGTGCCAGTTATTGTTGAGATACATGTGTAGGGGGCTGTTAAACCATAGCTACCGGTAGCATAATAATTTCTCAATTAAAGAAAATATACAACATTTGCTTTTGCTGTAATTTTCAGAAATGGATGGATCTTGGGATTTTGGGGTTATTTCATAGGAAATACTGTTACACTGACTTGTTTGAAGTTTTGTGTTTGTACATGTATGCTGGAAAAACCAAGAAAAAACAATCATGTTTCTGTAGTCTGGTTCCCTGACCCCAAGTAAGATGAAATGGAGCAATTTAGAGATGTTGTGGAATGTACATGTCAGATCAGGGAACCAGTCTAGCTTTTGTTTTACCCGTTCAAAGGTGTGTATAAATCAATTGCGAGTAAAATGCGGACTAATCAGCCAAAATAGCTCTTGTTTTCGTTGAGATTCTTGTGTTCTTTTTCCAACTCCCCAGATAGCATTCACTTTTCTTCTTTCAATACACTTTAGCACTTTCACAAGTCTGTTCAACTTTAAACTTGGCAGAAACGTAGACCACCACCAGACGGTGTCCGGCGAAGAAGTTTTGTCATGATGCGGAAACAGTAACGATGACACGATGCAGAAACTGTTACCAGAACTGTGTTCTTCAAATATCATTGTTTCGTAGATGATGAAAGTAATCCTTTACGTTAAACACTGAGAAAAGCTTACCTGTCTGGATCAGTTCTATGTTTTCCCCACGTGATGAGTGTTGACCGTTTTCTGGATGCACATTTTAGAGAAAGAAAAATTTAACTGCATACCAAGGCATAAGTTCTCATCTTAATTGGAGATTCTGTAATAACGTTTAATCCAGTATAAATTATCTGAATGGATTTGCTGAAAGAGTAGGTCCAACATGTCTGTAGTATAGTTTCATGATCATAATTGTTGTCATTACCGAATATGCCAGCTACATGTATGTCATTTTAAGCAATGTTGGTTTATTTTCTCCTTTACAGTGAAATTTCGGTAAGTCAAACTCTGTTAACTCAAAACAACTGTTAAGTCAAACCGTCACCGTTTTCACGAAGAGCCACATATGTGGATTTTGAAGAAAAAGCATTTTCGAGATAATCACAAAAGAAGTTTCTCATATTTTAAAACTGCAAAAAATACCACTTTGCATCAACTTTGTGCAGCAAGGAAACCATCACACTATTCTGTGTGAGCTGAATTTTTACATGAACCCAGTAATAAGACTTAATGCAGCAGTTAATTGGTGAAAATTAATTAGTAAAGACATGTGGTTCTTCATGAAAACGAAAATTCAGGTTTCCGACACATTGGCCCTTTCTGTTCGACGTGTATTTCCATAGGCGCGCGTGAGTACGCGCACGCAGCTGAAAATCTAACAAAGATATGTTGCTCTTCGTGAAAACGCAAATCTCATTTGACCTCCTTTTACGTATGTCCGTGCAATGGGTTTTGTATGCGTTCAAAGGGCCAAAATGTATGTGGCTCTTCGTGAAAACATGAAAACGCAAAATGCTTTTATCAAGATTTCGACCCCTTGCAACATTAATGTTACTTGAAAATTAATGATGTTTTGCTTACAGAAACATGTCAAAATGGTAAAGTACATTGTTTTAAAGCAAAGTATTGAAAAAAATCAAAATCGAAAAAAACCCGGTAAGTTTTTACATATGTGGCTCTTACATTGTACATTGTACTGAACAACCCTGCGTAACTCAAAACTATGCTGAAGTCATGTGTGTAAGTCAAATTTTGAACCTATTCCCTTGAGATTTGACTGAGATTTGACTGATTGAGATTTCATCGCATTTCACACATTAGATCTAGAGCCACGCCTTTACAAAGTATTTTTTGTGTGCCAAAAATAAAAGTCTTGCTCGGCTATAACAAGGAAAAGTGACTACAATTTGAAAATCGTTTTATTCCTAATATCAATTTCACATGTACTTTTCTTTACTATTTCAATCTGCTATTATAATTTTTAACAAATATCCCCTTTATATACCTTCATGTTGACTGCGGCGTTTCTCAATGTACTGATCTGCAATAACAACACACACAAAATTGTTTACTTTTGAAGGATTGTGGATGGGAAGTTGCAAGCTGCTGAGCGATACAAAGGCTGTACTGTCTCAGTATTGCCATGATAGTGAATGAAGAATCGACCGTTGAGACAACTTGACCGTTTAGACAAGTCAACCGTTGAGACAACTCGACTCGGGACAAGTCGACCGTCGAGACAGCTCGACTTTATGGAAATGTATACACGTGGAGCGGAAAAAAGTTGCATAAATCTGTGGGTATACTCACACAGAGGGCGCTCCGATCCGGTGGCCGTCGCATCGGGCCGGTGCCCCCCCGCCCGCGAGGACCGGGCCCGGCCTGGCACGCGGGCAAGTCGACCGGCGCGACAAGTGGGCGCACAGGCCCAGCAAAAACGATGCCACCGTGCATGGTACGGACAAGTTGACGGGGGCCCAGCAAAAACAAACAATGTGCACAGACAATCACGCTGCGTTATATCGGCTGCGATCAGCCGCCGTCAAACTCCCCGGTACTATCCCAAAACTAGGCCCCAAACTTACGAGGCGACTTGTCTCAACGGTTGACTTGTCTTTCCATTTATCGCACATACGGTCGAGTTGTCTCAACGGTCGACTTGTCCCGAGTCGAGTTGTCTCAACGGTCGACTTGTCTGACCTCCGCTCCAAGGCAAACACTGTCGGTGAACTTCTAAACTCTCTAATAATCCAAGTGACCGTTTTGCCAGATTACCATTTTAAATGCTATAATAAGTGAGATCGGCCTTCCAACTGCACATGTACACCTGTCAAGACTTACCGATTATTCTTTCGGGAAAAAAAAATTGTGTCGTGTGTTCGTGCAAAAACATAGCATGGCACCGGCAAAATTATAGATATCATCGTATTCTGAAGTACATGTATAACATTTTGCAATAAACTTTTGGACAGCGAAGAGTTTTTAGGTGCCTTGTGTATCAAAACTTTTGTGCGAACAAAAGTTACATCTCTTTTCGATTGAACGAAAAAAAAGGTACGGAATGCTAATTTGGTTACCACATCCCCCATAGCCTTGTGTGCATTTATCTGCCGCGGTTATTCCGGGAAAAAACTGTTAAATCTTGCTGTGCACTGGACTATTTTGGAATTACCGAACTGGCCTATTTTCATGGTTGTTAAGGAACATGACATCTGATTTACTATGAAATCACAAATATACGTAAATGTACAGCAGACGGGAGAACTAAATCGCATGAAATCATGAGCTCACGTCCTGTGATTCATGTGTCAATACTATTTTTTGTAACACTTGTGTAGAACGCCAAGATCCTGTGGTTACGGTGTTTGACTAACAAACACTCGATGATGCGTGGGTTCAAATCCTGCCAGGAATATGGTGTTTGTGTCCTTGGGTAAGACACTTTACTACAATTGCCTTTCTCCACCCAGGAGTATAAATGGGTACTCTTGAGGGTCCAAGACCAATGTAGCGCTGATAGCAATATCGGCTGCCGCATTGTCTCATGGCCTGATTAACATGGTAATAATTGTGAAATTGCTTTGAGATTGTTGATACGATGGAAAGCGCTATACAAGCACTACGATTAACATTATATTGATATTCTAGATTCAAGGCAAAAGGGTTTTGGAGATTTCAATTGCCTTTCTTACCCTCCATCATTAGAGACTTGCCATGGATTAACTTTGGAGGAGAGTAAAAAGCAAGTGAACAAAATAAAAAGCAATTTAAGGGCCCCCCCCCCCCCCCCCCAAATAACCAGTCCCTGGTCAGACCGAAGTTCCAGAATTGATGCGGTGACGCATTTATTATTATTATTTTTTTGGTGGCTTTTTTTTTCAAGCTCGAATTATACAGAAAAGGTGGGTACTATTTTGCTTTTTTGTGTTCTCATTATACATTGGTGTCCTCCATAACTTGCCTTGGTGCCCTTTATCATTTGCCTTGGTGCAAATACCCCATTCCTTGGTGCTCCTTGGTAAAAAAATATGAGGAGGTGCAGCAATAGAGGGCGCTGTTGTAGCTTCCGTGTTAATTTGAAGAAGAAAAAAAAAAAGGTGACGCGCATGATTAAAAACGATGCGCACGCTGACCAGAGACCGAGTATTTGGGGGGGGGGGGGCCCTAACGCCCAATTCTGTGATCATAGGAAAACCACTTACATATTCCAAAACAAAGTGCCAACAGAGCCACCAGAAAGGCGCCAATGCCTCCAACTATTCCAGCAATCTTGTACGCAGCATCCAAGTCATGTCCACCACTTCCAGTTGCAGACGGCGTATTTGTAGTCGTGTTCATGCTGCCAAACTCTGCCATTTCTGTTCTTGTCAACAACCTTTAAAACTACAAAAAAAAAGTAACAAGTGGGAATTGTAAGTGAGCAACATGTGAGAAGCAGTGGCGTCGCCAAGGGGGGGCCGGGGGGGCACGTGCCCCCCCTGGAAAACCTAGTGCCCCCCCGAGTGGGCCCCCCCCCCCCATCAAATGCTGGTGCCCCCCTATCCTCTGCAAAATTCTGCGCGTTGTTAAAATCATTACCTCAAAAATAGCAATTTCTGGAGATATCTTCAGATCGAATTTAGCATAAAATGTGGCACCATTTTGCATCTAGCCCATCCTCCGTATGCGAAAATTTTCCAAAGGGGAGGGGGGGCACCCCGTCCCCTTAGACCCCTCCCCCAGGACGGCGATCCGTATCCACCTAAGTGCCCCCCCCCCCCCCCCATCAAATGCTGGTGCCCCCCCTGTGCCCCCCCAGACTGAAAAGTCTGGTGACGCCACTGGTGAGAAGTAGGCCAACATTCTGAGGAACTGCTCTTTCTTATCCAAAGACGGATACAAGGAAGTGAATGGTGTCTTTAACCACCCTGAAATGGGTAATTCTTTGCATAATGGAAAATTCATTTGTTTTACTTCTCTGAATAATTGTTATCACGCACGTAGTGTAGGGCCTGTTTCTTAGTAATATATAAGGGAACAAAATCCACGTTAAAATTATAAGACCGACCAAACAAGTTGGAAACATTCTCAATAAACTGGTATGTCATTTTCATACATAGATAGAGGGCAAGGTTTTGATTTTTGGGGGGAAAAATGGGGGTTAAATGACGATGACAGCGTGGCGACAACATGAAACCTGAAAATAAAGATGGCATGAGAATGCACGGCGCGCTGAACAGCAGGGCACAAACAGCGCAGGAAAATCGTGATTTCTACCCTAAGAATCTGTTCAAAATTGCAAAACGGGTGTCATTAGAATTGAGAAAAGTCTGCTGTTGATTGTAAAGGTGATTTCTGAGCAATAACAAACAGTTTTTACTCTTATTTGATTAAAACATAACACAATAACAGGAGCCCTACACAACATGATCGCCAGGAAACATATTCTGGGCGAGTCACAAAGTTTAGAGAGTTTCGTTCCCTAATGGACTGATCCAGTAAGCACCGCCCCATGACATTCTGACCAATCACAGCCGTGATTTATGTCCGACATGCGTGCACAAAAGTCTGACATGCGTGCACGTGCGTATGATGCGCGCGGCAGGAAAATGCAGTTTGGCATTGGAGAGGAGCACGTGTTAATTTGCCACGTGCGCAGTGGGAGGGGCTTACTGGATCGGTCCATTATAGCAACGGGGTCCGCAACTACACCAATGCCACTAGAGGGTAGCCTATTTGAAACGAATACAGGTCAACTCGTACGCGAGCCAATTCGTATGCGACCAACTCATACGCAGGACAAATCGTACGTAGGACAACTCGTACGTGGACCAACTTGTACGCGAGACAACTCGTACGCGGGCTAACTCGTACGCGGACCAACTCGTACGCGAGCCAACTCGTACACGTGAGTACAGACTAGCAGCCGTAGCACAAGGGATTTTACTGAAACCCTAGGTTCGGGCATGTTGGAAATTAGGGTCGGTCAGTTGTCCGGCACATTCTTTTTTCCTTAAGTTAAGGGGATTATTTTGTGTTACTGAGTGGTCCCAATTAGTTCAGTTTTAAATCAGCTTGTTTTGCTCATAACAAAAAGTTATGATTTGTTTTCCTGGACCTCTCGCACACTTTCCGGTATGTCCGATCCTAGCCCCATAAATGTGGCCTATTTACTGGACTGCCTCCGTAAACATAGGCCACACATCCACATGTGCAAAAATCGTGTCGACGGAGCCAAATTTTGATTTTCACATTTAGGCTTAGTTTGTAGGGTTTTTTTTGCTTTAGAAGCATACTCACCCTCTTTACAGGCTAATCAGAAAGTGCTACCTTTTTCAGATGTCTAATTTTTGTGAAATTTCATGTTGAAATTTTGATACGCAAACGTGTAAAAATGAATCTGGAAATTTCACGAAAAATATACATCTGAAAAAGGCAGCACTTTCTGATTAGCCTATAAAGAGGGTGAGTATGCTTCTAAAGCAAAAAAAACCTACAAACTAAGCCTAAATGTGAAAATCAAAATTTGGCTCCGTCGACACGATTTTTGTACATGTGGATGTGTGGCCTATGTTTACGGAGGCAGTCCAGTAAATAGGCCACATTTATGGGGCTAGTCCGATCCTTGCTCACACCGTACGCCATACGAATAGGTAATGCCACGTAGTGAGAATTTGAATCGTATAATGTCCGCTGCACTTGTAGATTTCCAACAATACACTGCTATAGTGGCCCGCGCTATCAAATCGTTGTATGTCTTGACAAATTCTCCACACTACTAGCTGCGTAGTTGGGGGTGCATGCCACGGCATTGCACTACACATCGGTCGCAAAATGGATCATGTTTTTTTTTCAATTTATCATTGAAACTTTTGAACTTGAACATCGTTGCATTTATGGAATTTAAAATTGTTGAAAATACATATGGCTACAAAGTACAATCACAGTCATTCAGTCATACAATCGGACAGTGATAAATCGTTAACTTTGGAGTGTGTTTTGGGGTAAACAAACTTCAAGTTGGCGATCGTAAACATCGTTCAATTTTTTTTAATTTGCTAATTATTTTCGGACCGCGTACGAGTTGGTTGGCCATGTTGGCGTATGAGTTGTCTTGCGTAAGAGTTGTCTTGCGTACGAGTTGGCTGGCGTACGAGTTGTCTTGCGTACGAGTTGGCTGGCGTACGAGTTGTCTCGCGTACGAGTTGACCAAACTGCGTACGAGTTGACTCACGTACGAGTTGGTTCGCGTACGAGTTGTCTTGTTTAATTCGAAACGATCCGGAGACTGGAACCGGAAGTGAAGTCGGAAAAGTAGGGGCCTACACTAGCCCAGGTTGGACGAAGTCTTCATTGCAATACGCTTGGACGAAGTCTTCATTGCAATACGACTAACGTCCAGGACGAGAATTCTCTACATGAAACCACCCAACATTTTTACCAGAGTTTTGTAATGTTTTACCTCGTTATAGAAGCTTATTTCACGCCTGCATACTCTATGTGTCCTTATCTGTTGGGCGATGGGTTCAGGAATTCCATATGCGATGCTGACTGACGTTAATCAGGAAAATAAACTCCAAAGCAACGTTAAACTTGTGCGTGTTTGTAGTCTCTTTTCATCAGTTTATTCCAGAGTCGTACGTCATGTACAATGTACGTGCGTACGAAAGCTAGCGCCCTCATTTGTTTAGTTTTGGTTGGAACTGTGACGTCACTCCAGTCAACCGATGTCGCGAAAACGCTCAACCAATGACCAAAGCCGAAACGTGTTTCTGGTAACTGGCGCGAAAACACGCTCGGTCATTGGATTAGCGACCGCACCTTCAAGTAAGTGCGCGTGCCTATGAGGGTGGTTACTAAGCAAATCGCGCGTGCGCACTGCATATTCATGCCGCATAGTCTGTCCCCCAGACCAGACGTGATATGAGCGTCGAGAATAATTGTCCGGTCTAGGGAACCAGACTACACGCTGCACAGACGTACATGATGTACGACTAGAATAGACTCGGCGGTGAGCTAGAAACTGATGAAAAGAGACTAAAAACACGTACAAGTTTAACGTTGCTTGCGAGTTTATTTTCCTGATTGACGTCAGTCAGCATCGCATATGGAATTCCTGAACCCAGCGACCCAACAGATAAGGACACATAGAATACTACGACGTAAAAATTAGCTTCTCCAACAAGGTAAAAATATTGAAATTATTGGTCAGAAATGTTTTCGTTCGGTTGCGAGCACATGTGTACCCAGGACTCCCTCCGTAACGTAGGGAGGAAAGGGAGTCCACCAGGGCTAGGGCCTACACATTTTAACCACTGAAGTGGCGTCTGGATACTTTATCTTACCAATCCTAGAATACCTTCTGCCTCTGGAAGTTTCACAGACGTAACGGACCCTTTCTTGCAAAACTATTACTATTAGGAGTCATCCTCAACTTTTGTTGTGACGATTGCGGCTTTTCTCTCTAAAAGTTGCATGATTTACGACCATCAATATAATTTACGACATAACAGGCGCCCTCTCTAGTCTAGCTAGGCATAGAAATCATCCATTCTGAGGGCGCCCTTCTTAACTAACGGTGGGGGAGGAATTTGAACGAGTACTTCTGTAACTAGTACTATGTTATTCGGAAAACATGCGTGACAATGAATGCAAATCACGGTCAGCATTCATGACAGAAATTACAACTCGTTATTCGGACATTATCCAAAGAAATAACTGTTTGCGGCCAAATCGTTGAAGTGAAAAAAACCCCAGTGTTTTACTTTCGAATCTGCAGTCACTAGTCCAAACAGAACATTCATTTTGCAAAGAAACGACATGATCCTCGTGGACACGCTCACTCCAAAAATGATGCATTGAATTGAATTTTGGCCTGATGACTGGTCGTGAAAGATATAGACGAACAAGACAGAATATTGAGACAGTTTTTTTTCTTCTCTCCATCAATTAGCGTTTAGTGAGTCAACACGAATCAGACCTTCGAATCCGCAGTCACTGTCCAAACTGACATTTGGGGAAAGTTGTGAAGTACTCAATTTCTATGTTTCCATATTTATTTGCCAACACTTCAATGCGTACTGAAGAAATGAAACATCAATGAAATAACAACATCCAATACAGGTACAACACAACCACATAATTATGAGCGAGTCATCCCAAAATGAGCTTATGGCCAAA